CTACTTCAGCAAAGGTACAAAGAACTACAACTACAGCAAAGGTACGAAAACTACAACTTCAGCAAAGATATAAAAACTACAACTACAGCAAAGGTACAAATAACTACAGCACAGGTACTAAAAACTACAACAAAGGAACTAAAAACTACAACAAAGGAATAAAAGCTACAACTACATAAAAGGTACAAAAAACTACAACAAAGGTATAAAAACTACAACTACAGCAAAGGTACAAAAAACTACAACAACAGCAAAGGTTTAAAAAACTGAAACTACAACAAAAGTATAAAAAACTACAGCACAGGTACAAAAACTACAACAGCTTCGGGCACTTTTTAACATCGGGCTCTATGGGGACTGATTCGCCTCTGGTGACAGCATGTAGTGGACACTAAAGGAACTGCACTTTAGGGTCTGAAATGTAAATGTTATGCTAAGCTAACTTGTTATCAGCTGCAGCAGATTTGTTGAACACATAAGCAGAAATCTCATCCTTCAGTGTTTTTTTCTCACTGTGTGATCTCCGTCCTGTGTGTCCTTCAGTGGTTCCTGTAGATTCAGAGAACAACGGGGCGAGGCGTCGGCTGCTGAGGGAAGTCCTGCAGGGACGAAACCCAGCGATGGAGAGGTGGGATTTAGTTTTCATGTTAACCAGCTGCAGAAGGGTTTTGTGTTTGGATTCAGATCTGCATAGTTCAACAGTCACAGCTGATACTGATGAGGAAAACATGTCTTTGCTCCCTCTTCATAAAAGATAGAATACATTCTCACAGATACAGGAAGTTGATCATGTGTTTGTGCAGCTGTAGATGTGATGAAACGAAAAAAAGAAATTACATTTAAACTTGTTGCTCATTCTGTCATCATGAAATCTCTGCTGCATGTTTAGTTCATTTCATGTTTGTTTTGGGCCTGTGTGTTAGAATCCGGTTCACGGTGGTGAGCGAGCCTCCAGAGGAAGAGGAACAGGAGAGAGAGTGTGAGGATGTGGGCGTGGCCTCCATCAGAATCCCTGACATCCTGGAGAGACGAGAGGACCTGACTGAGACCACCCTGACTGGTACACGCACACGCACACACGCACACACACGCTGGTTATATTAATAATAGTCATGTCAGTCATATTTACAGACTTTATTTACAGAGCTTTTATTTTGAAGGCATACAGGGGTGGAAGTGTTTTCCTGATCACTGGAAAGTTTGAGTGTCCTATCTCTTATAAATACTGCGGCGCAGTTACCGCCAACTCGCCACTGACCACCATTATTTCACTCTAACTGTTTGTGGTTGTTGGCGCCCCCTGTTGGCGAGTTGGCGAGACTCTTTTTACAATGAGGCTGATTCACAGAGAAAAGACAAATATCCTCCAAAAGACTTCACGAAGGATAATTCAAACACTAACAGCAGCAATGAAGAGACCCGCAGTTTGCACTGCGGCACAGTAATGAGAGAATTTAACCCTTTAGTGTCTTTGTGACTCATTTACACAGTTCAGCAGCAGGAAAGATGCATGATCCTGCCGTGAATCAAGCCCTGAGAGTGTGTGTTTGTGTGTGTGTGTGTGTGTGTGCAGTGGTGGGCGTGGAGGACAGCAGCGAGGTGGTCGGCAGTCTGATCGTGTCCGTGGAGGGTCTGGAGGCTCTGCAGGACATCATGGAGGACCAAGAGCAGGAGCAGGACCAGGAGGAGACCTCGGTCATCTCTCTGGCTCCATCCTGAAGAAACAACATCATCTGATAGAAAAAGTGTGACCCAGATTTGATCAACACCTTCTGAAGGACTGACTCCAGATGTGAACAGAGAACTTTGTAAAGCTTGTTTGAAAAAAGAGAATCTGCCCTTATTTTGTGAAACATTCTACAGAGGCCCTAAGGGGTCATGTACAGAACAAGTTTCAGGTGGGCACAGGACACTACCCTGTGCTCATGAGAAGGTATTGCCTTTCAAATGAGAACGTTTCTCTGGATCAGTAGGAGGTACTTTGTGTCCACTGAAGAGTTTCTGCCTTAAATGAACTTAAAGGAGTTTCACCGTCTCTGTGAGCCGGAGATTTCTCTGATAAGAGATGCACAAAACCTCCTCGTGAGCACGGGTTAGTTTCTGATGTGCACCAGTAACTTATTTATGTCCCTTTAAGGGCTCCAAGTTTACACTGTTTTTATTTTTGTATTTTTCACACTAAAACCTTCTGATCGTGATTCTTGAAATGAAGGTCTTCTGTCTTTGCTCAGTAAATAAATGTGATGATGATTTTCAGGTTTATATTGAGGACTCAATATAAACATTAACGGATATAAAATCTAGTGAGGCCGCTTGAAATGAAAATGATCTGATTTAAACTGATGCTGTAAGTTTGTACATACTGTACACTGTTTTAATTTATAAATGTTACAATAATTTATAGTTTTTGCTGTGTTGCTTCCCTGCAGTTATTTCAGAGGAGACTCGTTAGTGAGTCTGCAGATCCTCATGTAATATTTACTGCAGTTGTTAGCAGCAGGACTGTTTGTGTTTCTGCAGTTTGATGTAGTTTTGTACAGAATAAGTCCGAGTGTTTCTCCAGAGCTGCTCACAGTTCTGTTATAAATAATAATGTTTGTTTATCAGAGTAAGAAGGGGAGCTGTGTGCCTTAAATTAGAGATTTCCTCTATGGGGTTTAATGAAGAGTTTTTTCTATAAATATTTATTTGTATGAGTTTTTAACTTAATAAAATGAGTTACAAACCTCTGTCATCTTACTGTTAGCATATAAACTTAAAGCAGGGGCAACATGTCACTTAGCTTAGCATAAAGACTGAAAACTAGGTAGAAACTTGGTTTTGTGAGACTGCCTTAAAGGCTGAAAACAGGGCTAAACAGCTAGCTTTGTGTAGAATAAATACTGCAAACAGGGAAAATTTGCTAGCCTAGCTTAGCATATAACAACAAACGGTGCTGAACAGCGAGTCTAGCTTAGCATACAGGCTGAAAGCATAATAATAGCTTATTTAAAACTAAAAAATGGAAAACAGCTAGCATAGTTTAGCATAAACACTGGGAAGTAAGAAAGTGTATCTTGATTTAGCATAGAGGGTAAGAGCTAGCCTGGCTTAGCATAAGAACTTGGAAGGCAGACAAAACTAGCCAAGCTTTGTATTTAAAGTTGGAAAACGGCTAGCCTAGCTTAGCATAAAGACTAGGAAGTAAGAAAATTATCTTGGTTTAACATAAAGACTTGAATTAGGGGAAGCTGCTAGTTTAGTTTAGCATAGAGGCTGGGAAAAAGTGCTAAACAGTTAGCTTAGATTAGCATTTCAACCTGAAACAGGGAAACAGCAAGCCTAGCTTAGCTTAAAGACTCAAAACAATCAGAAATGCTTAATTATCCCAGCTGGAAATTCGGAACACATCTTCCCTAGCTTAGCATAAAGGCTGAATAGCAACAATAGCCTGGTATAAAGACAAGATATGGGAAACGGGTAGCGAGGCTTAGCATTAAGACTAGACACAGGTGGACAAAGTTACCTTACCTTAGGATAAAGACAGGAAAAAAGGGTAAAAGCTAGTCTAGTTTAGCATAAAAAAACATTGAAGGCAGACAAAGCTCAAAGCTAGCTTGGCTTATTATTTAAAATGACAAACTTGGAGTAGCCTAGCTTAGCATAAAGACTTGGAAGTAAAACTTACCTTGGTTTAGCATAGAGATTTAATTAGGGGGAACTGTTAGTTTAGCTAAGTATTAGGGATGGAAACGGCGATAAACAGTTAGCTTAGATGAGCATTCATGACCTGAAACAGGAAAACATCCAGCCTAGCTTAGCTTAAAGGCTGGGATGGGGGGGGGGGGGACTAGCTTAGTTTAGCATTAAGAATAAAAACTGGGAAACAGTTGGCCTGGGTTAGCATAAAGGCTGGAGACAGGGTTTAACAGTTAGCCTGCCATAGTATTAAGAATGAAAATATGATGAAAATACTAGCTTAGCTTAGCATTACTGCTGTAAACAAGTAGAGAAGGCTTACCTATCTTAGCATTAAAACTGCAGTCTGGCAATAACAGCTACCATAAATTAGCAGCTACCCTCAATAAACTGCCGCTAATAGACAGAGACACGTTTATACTTTCAGAGTTAAAGTGCTTAAAGTTCCTGCTATGGGAGGTAAAGTATTAAAGTGCTAAGTGCTGCAGTATTGCACATGATTATGAGGTACTTAAGTAGATTGCAAATTTGTTCTGGAGCCTGTAACTTTAAAGTGTTGGTGTGATAGTACTGAGTGTGAATATATATAGACGTGTGTATGCACATATTATTATTATTACGCAGTAATGCACTGGGGTTATCTACACATCGTAGTTTTGAGTATGTAGGTGTTGGCTGATTTAAAACAGATAGTTAGTGTAATGGAAAAATTCTGTTTACTGTCGAGGACACATTTTACTTACAGCTCCCTTGAGAAATGCAATCATCTAATCCATAATATTCTTGTTTTTCTTTACCCAAGGATGAAGGTTTCTTACAAATAGCTAAATGTCAAAGATACTCAGACTTGAAGTTTCCTTGACATTACTGTTGTGCGACGTGTTAAAATGTATGCCGAAATGTATGACATTGTTTTTGATATTTGACTGCGCCTGTATCTGCAATCCTTATATAGGCATGAAGGTTTTTCTGTGAAGCATGTGTATATAAACCCAAGCATATTGTGATTACTTCGAGCTTTCCTTCAGACTGTATTGACACTCTGAAGCTTTGTTCCTTCTACTTGCAACAAGAATTAAACTAAACAAAGACATTGACTGACTCATGATCCTTTCTTTTGCATTGTTAACAGAAATTTCCAGCACATTAGGCATGGTCACATCTGAAGAAGATAATATCTCTCAAATGTGTGAGGGCGTGGTCACACTGGCAATCATCAGGCCCGTAAAGTTCCCTAAAGTCTAGTTCTATGACCAGTGTTACCACGCCCTGAAGCAGCTGACAGCTCCAGCTGACACCGAGAGGACGGCTGAAGAAGAGGAGGCGAGGTGAGGAAGAACAGAGGAGGAGAAATGAAGAGCTCACAGAAAATCAAGAACACGTTGAACACAAAGATCTGAGGCTGCAGCAGGTAAAACATTTTATTATTTACTGTCATCTTTGTCTCTAATGTGTGCAGATGTAACGGTCCACAGTGATGTCTGTGAGAGAGAGGTGTGCATGGAGGTGGAGTTTCTGCTGTTATCTTCATCTTGACTTTGTTAAAAGTCTTTCTTCTCAAAGGTGGGAGCATCTTGACTCGTCAGTATTTAACCTCTTGTGAGCAGCAGTGAAGTTATCTTTTACTCAATCCAAACTTCATGACAGACTGCAGATGAGACAGAAGGCGTGAAATAGAAAGCTGAAAGACTAACAACTTAAATGCCCTGCATGCTAATAGAGCACTAACAGAGTTACAACCACATTCATCTGCAGCTGTTCCAATTTAAGATAAATCAATTTAATACTCATAAATAGTAAATATTTAAAAAACACATTCTCAGATGTAAAGATTTGCTTCTTAAGTTAAATATTTTTATTTTCTGCCACCAAAGACAAAACATTTCCCTTTTATAAATGAACGTTGAGTGGATTCTCGGGTCATTTCTCAGCTAGTCGATGTTTTCTAGCTGCAGATTTATTATCAAACATTAAACAAATTGTTGGTTATTGAGGTTTCATAATGAGACATTTCTCTGCGTCAGAGGATTTCAGATATTTCCGATATAAAGGACGGTTTTGTTTTCAAGATTTAAAAAGTGGAACGTTGAGAACAGGGCTCTTAAAAATGTGGAGAACAATATTTAAAAACTTAATATTTCATTTAAATCTGTATTACAGGAAAGATCTGCAGAACGCTATTAGGAAACGTTAGTGTATATGTGCGTGTGTGTGTGCATGTGTGTGTGGATGTGTGTGTGTGTGTGTGTAGGTGTGTGTGTGTATGTGCGTGTGTGTGTGTGTGTGTGTGTGTGTGTGTGTGCATGTGTGTGTGGGTGTGTATGTGTGTGTGCGTGTGTGTGTGTGTGTGCATGTGTGTTTGTGTATGTTTGTGTGTGTGTATTTGTTTGTGTGTGCATGTGTGTCTGTGTCTGACATCTCCATGGCAGCCTCCCTCATGTATGTGCGCTCTATGAATAGTGATCTCTCTGTGATGCAGCGGGACGTCTGCAGGATTCAGCTGTTCATGAAGGATCCACAGTCACAAAAAACAAGCACAAAATATCATGGTGACATCATTGGTTTAAGTTAAAAAAAAGAGGTATTGATGGTGTCACAGCCACACCGAGATGATTACAGCTTCAGGCTCAGGAAGTATAAACACTTGCTGCAAAGGTAGAGACGCGGCAGTGTGTCATGGGAAAATAAAAGTCAGACCCAGGTGCAGACTTCAGCTGTCAGTGCTTCACACATTAGTGTTAGTGTATTAAAAACGTTTTAAAATTTAAAAAAAGTAAAAAGATGTTGGTGAATGAGTCCCGAGCTCTAAACAATTCTAAATACGACAGGACCCAGGATGGAGCCCTGAGCAGAGAAACAGTCAAATAATGAAGTTAGATCAAACCTTTCATAGACTGCAGCAGATTCTGCTTGATCCTTCCTGGATATGTTACTTTTAATGGATGTGCTAAGAGGAGGAAATGTAAAGGTCCAATCAGTGAGATGTGTAGTGAGTGAAATGATGAAGTGAGCTTACTATATGATCAGACATTAAGGAAACATGCTATGTTGAAGTGCTGGCTTCTCTGACAACAATGCAGCAGCCTCCTTCTAACTTTAGATTAGAAAATGACGCGTCTCGTTGTTTGTAAACAAAATACACGATTGAATACAACAAACAAACAAACAAACAAACAAAGAGCTCCCACAATCACACTGAGACAGTTTGAAACGTGTCGTCCTTCAGAGAGGAGGGCAGCATGAGTCTGGACGAGGACGCCCGTTGGCTGGAGTGGGTCACCAAACAGTTTGAGAGCATCGCTGGGGACGACAAAGAGATCGACATCGACGAGTTTAAGACGGCGCTGAAGGTCAAAGAGGTCAGAAACACACACGTCTTTATCTAAACGCTAAATACATGAAGATAAAATCTGAACATGGACGAGGAGCTGTCGTGCAGAAAGAACCATAGTCACTATTTTTATACCTGAAAGAATCACCAGGTGTGTACTAATGTGTCGTTGTGTGTCGTTGTGTGCAGTCTTTCTTCGCAGAGCGTTTCTTCGCTCTGTTCGACTCGGACGGCAGCTCCTCCATCAGTCTGGACGAGCTGCTGGAGGCTCTCGACCTCCTGATCCACGGCACCGAGACAGACAAACTCAAGTTCCTGTTCCAGGTCTATGATGTGGATGGTCAGTGGTCACAAGAAACACATGCATACACGCGCACACACATTCACGCATGCACACACAAGATATTCTCTGAGTTCTTCATTTCCCAAAAGTCAGTGTGAGGAGACTCAAGGCACATGAATTAGTAAAATGATGAGATTTTAGAAGTTAACATGTGAGAGTCTTAATAATCCGTCGCTGCCAGCACAAAGAAACCTTGTTAGTAGACAGACCTTCAGTTAGCTTAGTATAAGCAGATATTTACCTTTTATTATTAACTGAATTCTACGGAACATCCATGCATTTTATTTGACTCCTTTTCTCATCATTACGAATCACGTCCTGTTTATGTCATTTTCATGAGATATGCTGGAGCAGCGGCGGTCATTCAGCAGCCGTTTTAAAGCAACTGTTTTCATAGAGACAGCTTCGTCTAGGCGCTCCAGAGCTGCAGCCAGTGCTGTTCTGTCCGAAAAAAACGCCAGGTGGACACGGAGCCTAAATCAAAATCTGTGTTCTCGTTATCACAGGGGAAAATAAAACGTATGGATCTTTGTCTACTTAGGGCTTCCGCAGTTAAATAAACACTTTCATTTAAAGAGAGAAATCTCATAACATTAGCCTTTATTTAGGAGCTAAGCTAGCCTATAATGCTAAAGTGACTTCCTGAATGCTTCCGATTGGACGAAGCTGCAAAAGTCGTTTTAATGTGTCACAGATATTTCTGTTTGTCTTTCAGGCAGCGGCTCCATCGATCCCGACGAGCTGCGGACCGTCCTGAAGTCGTGTCTGCGTGAGAGCGCCATCTCTCTGCCAGAGGAGAAACTGGACGACCTGACGTTGGCGCTCTTTGAGTCCGCTGATAAAGACAACAGTGGAGCGATCACCTTCGAGGAGCTGAAAGCAGAGCTGGAGAACTTTCCGGAGGTCATGGAGAACCTCACCATCAGGTGAGAGAACACTGACGCCAAATATCCGGGACTCCAAGTTTATTTCTTTATTTATTCTTAAATATTTGTATTTATTCCCCCCCCCCCAGTGCAGCAAACTGGTTGAAGCCCCCGGAGTCAGACCAGAAGAAGCGCCACGCCCCTCGGTACCTGACTCGAGCATACTGGCAAAACAACAGCCGGAAGCTTCTGTTCCTGTGTCTGTACGCCTGCCTCAATCTGCTGCTCTTCACCTTTGCCATGCTGCAGCACAAACAGGGCGGGGCCTGGTACATGGTGGCCAAGGGCTGCGGACAGTGTCTCAACTTCAACTGCACCTTCGTCATGGTAACGAGAGGGGGAGGGGGGGTCTGAGAGTAAAAACTGACTGCTAAAGAGTTGAAGAACTCATGAACACATTGCATGTCTGTACGGAAGAAATAAGATGCCAGAATCATTGTTTTTTGTTCAGGTGCTGATGCTGCGGCGCTGTCTCACCTGGCTCAGAGCTACCTGGGTGGTCCGGGTCTTACCTCTGGACCAGAACATCCTGCTGCATCAGATTGTGGGCTACGCCATCCTGTGCTTCACCCTGGTGCACACCGTTGCACACATCTTCAACTTCGGTACCAAATCTCTGTTTCAATACTCTGACTTAGACCGACTGTTTAATGTCATGAGCAGGTATAAACATGCTCAGAGGTTAAAGGTCAGGGACTGAATTAGCTGAGGTGACACCAAACATACAGCTAGCAGCTCCCACTTGTCACTCAAAGAGGCCACACCCCCTAATTCTACATCACTTTAAGCCTTAATATAATGTAAACAGGTGAGTTGTATAAACATTCAGCCCGTACAGTTGAAGAGAGAAATGAGCTCTAGAGACCCAAACTGTTTTTGTACCAGACTGTAAACATGTTCATTTTAACATGGGGCTCTATGGGGACTGACTCACTGCAGGAGACAGACTCTAGTGGACTCTGGAGGAACTGCAGCTGTCAAGTTGGACATTTTAACATGGGGCTCTATGGGGACTGACTCACTGCAGGAGACAGACTCTAGTGGACACTGGAGGAACTGCAGCCATAAAGTTGGACATTTTAAAGGTCCCATATTATGCTTTTTCTGGTTTTATATGCTCTTTAGTGTGTTTTCCAAGTGTCCTGTGCATGTTTAGGCACATCTATGTGCAAAATTCAAAGTCCGCGGAAACGCAGCTTCTCCTACGTCCTCCTGTTAGCTGTAGCATTAGCTGCATGTAACGCTCGGTTCTAGCCCCCCTCGAAAAAAATTTGTCAGTCCAACGTCATTGTCAGTGTGAGATCACTGATCTAAGCCCATTGGCTCGTTGTGGCAAGCCCTGAAGCTCATGTTGCACGCCCATTAACTTCTGTAGCACGCCCACGATATGCCGTAGCCTGCGGTAGCACAGTAGTGCTAAGGTGCTAATGTTTTTGCTCTCCTCGGACGGAGCCAGTGGCTGCATTCCAAATATGGTAAAAGAAGCGGGACATTTCCGAGAAGCGTGCTGAGCAACTGACCAATAACGACAGAGCGGATCGGCAGACCAATCAGATCAGACTTGGCCCACATGGGGCTCTGCAGTGGGGGCTCAGCAGAGCGTAGCTGACGTACTCAGAGCGTAGAGGGAGCAAGGAGGAGCAGTACATGAAAACAGACACTTTTTTAGGACTTTAGCTATTGTGAACATACAAAAGTAGGTACATAGATTAAATATACAAACCCCAAAAAGGGCATAATATGGGCTCTTTAACATGCAGCAGCGCTCTGCTCTGTTTCAAATAGTCTGTACCATGAATCAGGTTGATTTCATCCAGATTTCCTTTAAATAATCAGGATCAAAGTGAGCTGGATTACCTGATCATGTGGAGGAAACAAATTGATTTTTAAACCTGGATAATTTTTGATCCAGATTAAACCTCACAGCGAGCAGGATTATAAGAATCAGTATGATATATTTTCTATTTCATTTTTTATATTTGATAAACTTCTGCTTGTGTTTGGGATTTATATATACATATATATATGTTTATATCCACTGCTGGAAACAAAACTTAATAATCCTTCATGACAGACTTGCAGTCGGGGGCTGTACCTGACCCTCAGCGTGGACTCAGGTGTGTGTGTCCTCTGTGTGTGTGTGTGTGTTTCAGTGCAGCTGTCACACAGCAGCGAGTTCAGTCTGTGGGAGTACCTGCTGACCACGCGGCCCGGGATCGGCTGGGTGAAGGGGACGGCCTCGTTGACCGGAGTGGTTCTGCAGGTGGTGATCTGTCTGATGGTGCTCTGCTCCAGCACCTTCGTACGACGCAGCGGACACTTTGAGGTAAAAACAGTAATAGATGTTACCTCTGAGTCACGGTGACCAGTCCCTTACAGCCAGACTTCAAGACTCGTTAAGTTTAAAAAAGTCTCAGAGCTCCCAAAACATGTGTGTGGTACCTCATAAGTGTTCTTTACAACATGCAGGGTTTCATGTTATCTATGGCCATCTAAAAATGCATAAAACCACATGAGCAGAAACAACTCTAGAGAGGAGGCGGCGGTGGGAGAGACAGCTCTACAATGTTTTGAATTTGGACTGCAGTTCTAAATTTAAACACTAGGTGTGAAATATTTGAAACATTTGCAAAAATAATTAAAATGTAGATAAGTTTATCCTTCTTATCAACATTTCAGTCCACAAACAGTGTGAGGTGTGTGATCAGCTACCTCTAGTGTCTACTAACTGTTATTACACCCATACTCATTTAACACCACAACCATAACCCGGCTGCACGGTGGTTAGTGCTGCTGCCTCACTATGAGGAGGTTCCTGGTTTGAATCCCCGTCCTTCAGGAGCCTCTCTGTGTGGAGTCTGCATGTTCTCCCTGTGCATGTGTGGGTTCTCTCCGGGTACTCCGTCTTCCTCCCACAGTCCAAAGACGTGCTCGTTAGGTTGGAACCCCGAATGGGAAATCGCTGTAGACAATGGATGGATCGACAATAACCTTGTTCTGTATCTGGGCCCTCAATCTATCACAACCCTCATGAACCTGCCTGTGTGTGTGTGTGTGTGTGTGTGTGTGTGTGTGTGTGTGTGTGTGTGTGTGTGTCCTGCAGGTGTTTTACTGGTCTCACCTGTCCTACGTGTTGGTGTGGTCTGTGCTGTTGGTCCACTGTGCAAACTTCTGGAAGTGGTTTGTGGTCCCTGGTCTGCTGTTCTTGCTTGAGAAGATCATCGGGATTGCAGTGTCTCGCATTGGTGGGCTGTACATCGTGGAGGTCAACCTGCTGCCATCAAAGGTCACAACACACACACAGACACACACACACACACACACACACACACACACACACACACACACAACACAGACACATACACACTCACACACACACACACACACACACACACAGTCACACACACACACACACACACACACACACACACACACACACACACAAACAAACACAGACACATACACACTCACACACAAACACAGACACACACACTCACTCACACACACAAACACACACACAGACACATGCACACACACTCACTCACACACACACACACACACACACACACACACACACACACACAAACACACACAGTCACACACACACACAGTCACACACACACACACACAAACACACACAGTCACACACACACACACAAACGCACACATACATTCATCTGACTCGTCCTGGTGCAGGACCGATCTCTTCAAACACTACAAAACTTTTTAATGTGACCAGCGCATGGTCTGTGTCTTTGTCTCTTTAGACATCGTGTTAGTTAACATTTTCTCCGTGTACAGGTGACTCACCTGGTCATCAAGCGTCCTCAGTTCTTCCAATTCAAACCTGGCGATTACGTCTACATCAACATCCCCGTGATCGCCAAATACGAGTGGCACCCGTTCACCATCAGCAGCCCCCCAGAGCAGTCAGGTATACACACACACACACACACACACACACACACACACACACACACACACACACACACACACACACACACACACACACACACACACACACACACACACACACACACACACACACACACACACACACGGACAGAGTCTCTGTGAAAGAGCCTTTTGAAGCCCATCGATGACGGTCGCCAGGTTGGAAGTGCTTTACCAACCTGACTTTGGGTCAGCCTAGTAACAGACAAAGAGGCGGGGCCTAAGCCTCCTGACAAACCACAACATGGAAAAAGAAATTAGCAGAATAATGTTCTTTGAACCAGGCTGTAAACATGTTAATCTCTGCTGTAAAAACAAGCATTTTAGAATGGGTGTGTATGTGACTTCCTGTGCTTCTGCAGCCAGCCTCTAGTGGACACTGGAGGAACTGCATCTGCTTTATTTTTCAACACCGGAGGTCGCAGCTTGCTTGTGATCTGCATTGTTTCGTTTTGAGGAGGTGCATGTCAGACTTGTAATGTCATGTTTGCTTTTTAGATTCTCTGTGGCTTCACATCCGCTCGATGGGTCAGTGGACAAACCGTCTGTACGAATATTTCAGAGAACCAGAGAGAGAGACGGTCAGCCCTAAACGACTCGCCACCAGCCTGAGGGACCGCAGGCAGCTTCTCAGAACCCAGGTACATACACAAACGCACAGACACACACACACACACACACACACACACACACACACACACACACACACACACACACACACACACAGACAGACAGTCACCTGTTTATCCTGATATTTTACTCTCTCTAAGGAGGACTTGTTCAGCTCGTCAGACGGTGGCGCTGTAGCTTCTAACGAGGACGATGCAGTCGAGCTGATGATGTACCGTCAGAATGGATCCCTGTCCGACGTGGCCCTGCCCCCGACCTCCGTATCCCCAGGGTCAGCGGATCCTCAGGTTGAGCCAGGACCGGCAGAGCGAGGAGAGGCTTCTCCAATCAGAGAGGTCAGGACGTGGACTCATATCAGGATTATTTAGTGATGAATAAACTTTTATTCACTTTTTTTCCACTCTGCAGGTTCCTGCCAAGCTTGGAGAGAATCACAGATTCTGCAACATCAAGGTGAGCAGAACATCAGAACATTTAGAGATCAAACACCTGTGTGTGTGCCGATCGAGACATGAGCTAATCAGACCTATTTGTTTTTTTTAACCAGGCTGTAAACATGTTAATCTCTGCTGTAAAAACAGGTCTTTGCAGTTCAGCTGTGCCGCTTGATTTTAACAAAGTGACTGTGGCGACCCCTAGAGGTGGAATTAATGACAGCAAGATGGCTGATAAAAGCTTAAGCTAATAATACAACACGTTAATTTGTCACTTTCAAAAAAAAATGTAATCCTGTAAATACAATCTGAAATTTTAATTTAAAGGTCACATATTCTCCTCATCTTCAACCAGTTTAAATAGAGCTCCTCAAAACATGTGTGTGAAGTTTCTTGTTCTAAATCCACTCTGATCCTGTATTTTATCATGCCTATAAACCCCTCTATTTCAGCCCTGCTCAGAACAGGCTGTTTCTGTGTCTGTACCTTTAAATGTAAATGAGCTGTGTCTGACCACGCCCCCTCTCTGGAAGGGCTTGGGTGTCTCGGGCTTTCTCGCTCCATGTCCTATTGTTTATGATGAGAAGGCAGACTCAGAGGGCAGAACAAACACCTAGCTGTGGGAGTGTCACCCACCTGGGGGAGGGGTTACTGCCCTTTGTGATGTCATGAAGGGAAAATCTCCAAACGACCTGTTTGAGCACACATTTTCTGAAAAGTGAAGCAGGAAAAGGCGGAGAGGATGGATTTTTCTCATCATTGGGGGGGTTTGTAGACAGATTAGAGACATATATTAGAGTTAGAGAAACATGATGGAGCGGATTTATATAATATGTGACCTTTAGGCTTTATATGTGATTTTTCACACTTACATTATTTACGTGGCCACACGTAAATAATGTAATAAAAATCAAGTATATCCTCTGAAAATAATTCTGTGAGTCATGACTGTCTATAATGGGTTTAACACCTGAGTCCCGCTGTTTGTGATGCTCTCCGAGTTTTATCTTCAGTTTGTTTACATTGTTTGTTGGCTCATCACCTCGCGTATAAAAGTTGTTTAATTGAGCGACTAGAGAAAAAAAGAATAACATACTGTACTCACTGCTTAATTGAATGTCACATAAGCGTTTCTAGATCACGGTCATTTCGGTTAAATTTACATGCAGTGTGAAGAGACGAGCATAATAAAGATCGCTTGCATTAGCATGCTAACACAACAATGCAGCACAAGTTGTTTTGGTTTCATGCTGGTGCTCAAGGGCGACATCTGCTGGATCAAAAAAATCGCATATAAAGCCTTTAATGTCAAGATTCCTTTTTTATTTTTTACTTTTATTCTGCAGATGAAGTCAAAATCCAATGATTAATCGTGGAATAAATACTTTTTTATTTAATCAAATTCTGTTATGAATGTATTAGGATTTTGGAAAATGTGGGGAAATTGTTCAAATTTGACCCTTATCCTCTTCTCCTCTTCCATACAAAGCATACCTGTTCAGACTGGTTGTCTCTTATCTGTGTGTTTGTATGATTTGTTGTTTGTCAGTGTTATGTGGACGGACCATACGGGACTCCAACTCGGCAGATCTTTGCCTCTGAACACGCCGTCCTGATCGGAGCTGGCATCGGGATCACGCCGTTCGCTTCCATCCTGCAGAGCATCATGTACCGGTGAGAACCACACCTACAGGTTTGATGTATCCTGGTTCAGAGAGCAGGCAGCATGCTGGGAGAAACTACATCACCCAGCATGCATTGGTCTGAGAAGAGGACGTAGCCCCCAGTTTCAAAAGTGAGGTAAATGCAGGAGTGTGTTAAATCTGCTTTCCTCTAATCTCCAGTAGGGGGCCACTCCTGTTTCTGGTCTCAAGCTCTAGTTTCAAGTCTGCGTTTGTTTTTTCGCAGGAAGTGACCATATTTGGACAAGAGGGTGGAGTTTGAGAGAAGCGCGGGTTATCCAAATATGGTCCCTTCTGGTTCTAAAACTGTTTTTTTTCAGGTAAACAAAAAACAATATCACAAGTAAAAGACAGATTAAATAGGATAGGATAGGATAGTACTTTATTGATCCCCAGAGGGGAAATTCGGGCATTACAGCAGCACAGACAAGAAAGCTCAAAAATACACATTAAACAGAATATAAAAATAAAAAAATAAAAAATAATAATAATAATAATAATAATAATAATAATAATAATAATAATAAAAATAAAAACAGGGGGTATATACAGTACAAAATGAATGATGAAGTTAACTGGGGGGAATTGAGAATTGAGACAGTATTTGCAGAGAATGACAAGATAAAGTGACAAGTGATGATTAAAGTGACTTGGTATGATAAATAGCAGCAAGTAATGTAAACAGCAGAAAAGAGAGGCAGTGTTGTACCACAGTAATGCAGAGTGCAGTTATATAATATAATGTAGTAAAATATAATATAATATTGTGCAATATGAACAATATAGTGAAATATAATGAAATGTTATATAATATAGACTAGTATAATAATATAATAAAAATATATAGAATGTACAGTATATATGTATATATATATCGATGCTAAATAATAATAATAATACAATAATACAATGATAATAATGAAGCAGGTCATGTGGGTAGTGTTTTATGGGGGTGAAGTTTAGTGTCAAGGACGTACTGTTATTGTTGTCATAGGCTGCTGTTGTACAGTCTTATGGCAGTGGGCACAAAGGAGTGTCTGAAGTGCTCCGTTTTGCACCTGGGGGGATGAGGTGTTGGCTGAAGGAGCTGCCCATCTGCCACAGCTCACCATGTAGAGGGTGAGAGGAGTTATCCAGGATGGATAAGATTTTGTCCTTCATCCTCCGCTCACCCACTGTCTCCAAACTGTCCAGATCAAGACCCACTACAGAGCGAGCCTTCCTCACCAGCTTGTTCAGCCTGTTTGCCTCACCAGTCTTGATGCCACCCCACCAGCACGCCACAGCAAAGAAGAGGGCACTGGCCACCACAGACTGGTAGAAGATCTTCAGGAGTCTGTTGCAGACACTGAACGATCTAAGTCTCCTCAGGAAGAACATCCTGCTCTGTCCCTTCCTGAAGAGGGTGTCAGAGTTGTGAGACCAGTCCAATTTATTGTTGATGTGGACCCCAAGGTACTTGTATGAGTCCACCCTCTCCACTTCCCCCTGGATGATGACTGGCGCAGGGGGCCTCTTCTTCTTCCGGTAGTCCATTACCACCTCCTTTGTTTTGCTGATGTTGAGCTTCAGGTGGTTGCTTTCGCACCATGTGAAGGAGCTCTCTAACAGTCCTCTGTACTCCTTCTTGTTGTCATCAGTGATGCACCCAACAATGTAGGAGTCGTCTGAAAACCTTTGGAGGTGGCAGGAACCAGAGTTAAACCTGAAGTCTGATGTGAAGAGAGTGATGAGAAAAGGCGCCAGAACAGTTCCTTGAGGTACTCCTGTGTTGCCCGTCATCATTGCCTACATCAGAGACACAGCCGTCGACTCTGACATACTGTGGCCGGCCCGTGAGGTAGTTAAAAATCCAAGCTGTGGTGTCAGGGTGCAGCTGCATATCCAGCAGTTTGTCCCTCAGGAGGCAGGGCTGGATGGTATTGAAAGCACTGGAGAAGTCAAAGAACATGACTCTCACAGCGCTTCCCTTCGTCTCCACGTGTGACAGGGCTTTGTGGGTCAGGAAGATGATAGCATCCTCCACACCAATGTGCCTCTGATATGCAAACTTCAACAGATCCTGGAAAGCAGTGAGCAAGGTCCTCAGGTGCTGGAGAACCAGCCTCTCAAATGTCTTCATGACATGTGACGTGAGTGCCACAGGTCTGTAGTCATTGAGAGCGCTGGGACGACCTTTCTTTGGAATTGGGACGATGCAGGAGGTCTTCCACAGGTCAGGCACCTTCATCAGCCTCAGGGAGAGGTTGAAGAGGTGCTGAAAGACTCCTGCAAGCTGCCCAGCACACACCTTGAGGATCCTGGGACTGATGTTGCCTGGTCCACTGGCTTTATAAATAAATAACTAAACAACATACAGTACAAATGAAAGACAGTAATATACAGAATATAAAGTAAAATAAACCAATAAAGATGCATTTAAATAGTGAAATCATTATTTAGATAGAGGGAAAAGGTTTTATAATAATGTATACATTTGTTACATTTTTTGTTGTTAACTAAAAGTAGCGATTTCAGTTGGGACTTTAAATTGGAGGCGCACGTGAAGTGAAGTTTTACGTTTAATTTCGCACTACATACATATTCATCGTGTACATCGAATACAATTCATTTCCTGAAGGGATGCATCTGATCCACACTGCATAAAACCCGGAAGTTAGTATCCATGCTGAAATGTTCAGTATACTGAGGTGGAGACAAAAAACGCATACTGAATGACCACTAAAGTTCAGTATACTGAAACTCCCTACTGAAAAGTATGGACTGCCTACTGAACAGTGACAATTCGGAAAGGGCCATGGTCCCATTTAAAGTCAAAGAGACCAGAAAGCAGGGGAGGACTCAGGGCGGGACTACCTTTGATTGACAGGTTACTACCATGGCAACCGTTCAGTCAGGATAAAGGCACAGCAATGTGTCCTTTAGGAATATCTCTTCTGACTCTGTAAAACCAAGATGGCGAAGTCAAACTCATGGCTTCAGACAGAACACAAACCAATTGCCACACCCCCTTTTTTGTGTTCTTTAGATACCGACAGAGGAAGCAGAACTGTCCCAGCTGTAACTACTCGTGGTGTGAAAACATCAAAGACAGCGAGATGAAGTTACGAAAAGTAAGAGAACACTGCAGAGCGTCAGTTTGACCTGTGAAGTTTTATTTTATGGATCAGTTCTTAATCAGCTTCTTTGGATCCTGCAGGTGGACTTTATCTGGATCAACAGAGACCAGAAGTCGTTCGAGTGGTTCGTCAGCTTACTGACCAAACTGGAGATGGATCAGGCCGACGAGGACCTGGAAGGTCAGAAACACTCACATTGACAGATAAGCAGCATTACTAGGAGCTGGTCCAAGCCGAGCCTTTACTTTAAGCTTTATAAAAAGGAACATGTTAAGATTACTCTTAAAAGTACAGATTGTGTCTGCCTCCTGGACTCTGACTGGTAGGAAAGGAGCATGATGAAGGCTCTACCTCCCATAGTACCTTTAGAGACAGTAGGTACCACGAGCAGGCCTGATAACTGAAGGCTCTACCTCCCATAGTACATTTAGAGACCGTAGGTACCACTAGCAGACCTGAGAACTGAAGGCTCTACCTCCCATAGTACATTTAGAGACTGTAGGTACCACGAGCAGGCCCTGATGACTGAAGGCTCTACCTCCCATAGTATATTTAGAGACTGTAGGTACCACGAGCAGGCCTGATAACTGAAGGCTTTTCCTCCCATAGTAAATATAGAGTTGTAGGTACCACGAGTAGGCCTGATAACTGAAGGCTCTACCTCCCATAGTACATTTATAGACTGAAGGTACCACGAGCAGGCCCTGATGACTGAAGGCTCTACCTCCCATAGTACATTTAGAGACCGTATAGGTACCACGAGCAGCCTGATAACTGAAGGCTCTACCTCCCATAGTACATTTAGAGACCGTATAGGTACCACGAGCAGCCTGATAACTGAAGGCTCTCCCTCCCATAGTACATTTAGAGACCGTATAGGTACCACGAGCAGCCTGATAACTGAAGGCTCTACCTCCCATAGTACATTTAGAGATCGTAGGTATAACGAGCAGGCCTGATAACTGAAGGCTCTACCTCCCATAGTACATTTAGAGATCGTAGGTATAACGAGCAGGCCTGATAACTGAAGGCTCTACCTCCTATAGTACATTTAGAGACCGTAGGAACCACGAGCAGGTCTGTATTTTCCTAATGGTTTCTTCTTTTTTTGGTGTCCGACCGTTAAGATCTTTGTAACAGATTAGAAGAGTGGTGCTCATAACCATGTAGAAATAAACCCTCTGTGTCGTCTGTCAGGACGGTTTCTGGAGATGCACATGTACATGACGTCAGCGCTCAGCAAGAACGACATGAAGGCTATCGGCCTGCAGATGGCGCTGGACCTGCTGGCCAAGAAGGAGAAGAGAGACTCCATCACAGGACTGAGGACGAGGACTCAGCCAGGCAGACCGGAGTGGGGGAAGGTGAGCCAACCTGTCTGATAGATTGTTTATTGTTATTAATGGAAATGGTCCGTATAAAAGGTTCTGGTTATTATATCTACAGAGGAGCTTTAAGGCCACACAGGGAAATTATTCTTTGGAGATCAATCAATCAATCAATTTTTATTTGTATAGCGTCAACTCATAACAAGTGTTATCTCAAGACACTTTACGAAAAGCAGGTAAAATACGTTACTCTTTGTCTGTTAACATTACAAAAGAGCAGGTAAAAATACCTTACTCATTGTTATGATACAAAAAGCAGGTAAAAGACCTTACTTATTGCTATAGTACCACGATCCGGCCTATCCATCATGAGCACTTTAGCAAAGCAGCAAAAGTTACAGTGGTAAGAAAAAACTGCCTTATTAAAAGGCAGAAATCTTCGGCCGGATCCCCGACTCATGACGAAACAGCCTTCAAAGGCCTAGACTGCGCCGGGCTTAGGAAGAGGGAAGGAAGAGGGATAGGGGAGCAAGGGGGTGGGGGGAGGCAAGCCGTCCATCAACAATCCGGTGGGGAGGGGGTTGTTCTGGCAGGCCGTCAACCAACGATCTTGAGGAGCCTAAGAGAGCTCAAGAGCTCCCAGGAAAGTAGGTGGTTAGTGACTGAGATTTACAGATAGATACATGCAGTAATATGATGTACTGTATATGCACACACAGAGAGAGAGAGAGAGAGAGAGAGAGAGAGGAGCTCAAGGTGCCAGTTCCCCCGGTAGTCTAAGCCTATAGCAGCATAACTAAGAGCTGGTCTACACCAGCACCAGCCCTAATTATAAGATTTATCAAAAATACAGACTGTGTCTGCCTCCCGGACCCCGGCTGGAAGGCGATTCCAGAGGAGAGGAGCCCGATAACTGAAGGCTTTACCCCCCATAGTACACTTAGAGACTGTAGGTACCACAAGCAGGCCTGCATTCTGGGACCGTAATGTTCTCGAGGGGCAGTATGGCACTAGTAGCTCCTTAAGATGACTTTTGATTATTTTCTCTGATCTCTGATTGTGTCTCAGGTGTTTCAGGTGTGTCAAGTGTTTCTTGATGTGTCTCAGGTGTTTCAGGTTTTTCGTGTTGTGTCTCAGGTGTCTCAGGTGTTTCTTGTTATGTTTAAGGTGTTCTTGTTGTGTCTCAGGTGTTTCAGGTGTTCTTGTTGTGTTTTAGGTGTCTCACGTGTTAGTGCTGTGCCTCAGGTGTCTCAGGTGTTCTTGTTGCATTTCAGGTGTTTCAGGTGTTCTTGTTGTGTTTCAGGTGTTCTTGTTTTGTCTTAGGTGTTTCAGGTGTTCTTGTTGTGTCTCAGGTGTTTCTTGTTGTGTTTCAGGTGTTTCAGGTGTTCTTGTTGTGTTTCAGGTGTCTCAGGTGTTCTTGTTGTGTCTCAGGTGTTTCTTGTTGTGTTTCAGGTGTTTCAGGTGTTCTTGTTGTGTTTCAGGTGTTTCAGGTTTTTCTTGTTGTGTTTCAGGTGTTTCTTTTTGTGTTTCAGGTGTTTTAGGTGTTTTGTTGTGTTTCAGGTGTCTCAGGTGTTTCTTGTTTTGTTTCAGGTGTTTCTTTTTTTGTTTCAGGTGTCTCAGGTGTTTCTTGTTGTGTTTCAGGTGTCTCAGATGTTCTTGTTGTTTTTCAGGTGTTCTTGTTGTGTTTCAGGTGTTTCAGGTGTTCCAGGTGTTCTTGTTGTGTTTCAGGTGTTTCTTGTTGTGTCTCAGGTGTTTCAGGTGTTTCTTGTTGTGTTTCAGGTGTCTCAGGTGTTCTAGTTGTGCTTCAGGTGTCTCAGGTGTTCTTGTTGTGTTTCAGGTGTTCTTGTAGTGTCTCAGTTGTCTCAGGTGTTCTTGTTGTGTTTCAGGTGTTTCGGGTGTTCTTGTTGTGTTTCAGGTGTTCTTGTTTTGTCTCAGGTGTCTCAGGTGTTCTTGTTGTGTTTCAGGTGTTTCAGGTGTTCTTGTTGTGTTTCAGGTGTTTTAGGTGTTTAGTTGTGTTTCAGGTGTTTTAGGTGTTTTGTTGTGTTTCAGGTGTCTCAGGTGTTCTTGTTGTGTTTCAGGTGTTTTAGGTGTTTTGTTGTGTTTCAGGTGTCTCAGGTGTTTCTTGTTGTGTTTCATGTGTTTCTTTTTGGGTTTCAGGTGTCTCAGGTGTTCTTGTTGTTTTTCAGGTGTTCTTGTTGTGTTTCAGGTGTTTCCTGTTGTGTCTCAGGTCTTTCATGTGTTTCTTGTTGTGTCTCAGGTCTTTCAGGTGTTCTTGTTGTGTCTCAGTTGTTCTTGTTGTGTTTCAGGTGTTTTCGGTGTTCTTGTTGTTTTTCAGGTGTTCTTGTTGTGTTTCAGGTGTCACAGGTGTTTCTTTTTGTGTTTCCGGTGTCTTGGGTGTTTCTTGTATTGTTTCAGGTGTCTCAGGTGTTATTTTTTGTGTTTCAGTTGTCTCAGGTGTTTCTTGTTGTGTTTCAGGTGTCTCAGGTGTTTCTTTTTGTGTTTCAGGTGTTCCAGAAAGTGTCGGAGGAGAACAAAGGTAAAGTTCACGTGTTTTACTGCGGCGCTCCGGCTCTGGCTAAAGTCATCAAGGCTCAGTGTGAACACTTCGGCTTCCACTTCTACAAGGAAAACTTCTGAGGACACACCTGGTGTGTGTGTGTGTGTGTGTGTGTGTGTGTGTGTCCATGTGTGTGTCTGTGTGTGTGTGCGTGTGTGTGTCTTCCTGCCTGTGTTGTCAGGTGTTTGATCATAAATGTATGAAATGTTCCTGTTTGCTTAAGCCTTGTAAAATAATGTATATAACATAACATTTTCTGTTTTGTTGCTTGAAAAATGACAGCCAACTTATCCGTAATTGTTTGGACCAGAGAAGGTAGGCGGTTTTAAGGCACCCCCCCCCCCCCCCCCCCCCCATGAGCGATGGAAGTGGGCAAAGTGTTCAGATAGAAGTGATTGTACCCGACCTAAAAAGCCTCTGCATGTTTCTAATAAGCTCCACGAGCAGAAATGTGCTCAAACTAGGATCAATATTGGAGATGCTTTTTAAAAATGGAGAGAGGTTAGAACGCAGAAAGGTTTACAGACCGATGCAGAACTGGCTAAACACTGAAGCTTCAGTGTCCACCACATGGCAACCTGCATGAGCATTGACTCTAGAGAGGAGGGGGCGGGGGGAAACAGCCCTCCCCCGCTCTCAATGTTTAGAATTTGGACTGCAGTACCCATTTGAAACACTAGGTTTCAGAGTTACATACTGCTCCTTTAACTTCTTTAATTTTTTGTGGTTAAAAATTCATTTATATTTTTAAATATCTAAAATTATGGTATTTTTGTGACCAGGGGCGCCGTAGTAAACCGCTTTTATATTGTTTAATGTGATTTATGTGTGTAAAAATGTTTTTTTATCTTTCAAAGTTATTTGACAGAAATCTTATATCAACATTTTCACCATTAAGCACCGCTGGTTTATGTTTAAAGTGCTCTTAATGTCTAATTTCTGTCTGCTATTGAGAATAAAGCTGCAAATAAGTGTCTCATTATCTTAAATTTGTCCTCTTATTAAAGCGTCATTCTTTCATCTCTCAATAAATCAATCAAAACTGAACGTTAAATATTTAAAGAAGTGTTTATCTGCTGACATCATGTGTGACCATCCTTCATTAAATTAGGAGCTGTTTCTTCCAGTGTCTGTAATGGATGAGATACGTATCGATGTTTACGTCGACGTGCTGCAGCAGGTGCAGCTCTTCACTTTCCTTCTTCTTCGTGAATTTTTACGATCGTGTCTCAAACGAATGTAATCTTTTCCAACTCGAAGTACTAAGAATATATTCAGCCTATTGATTCCATCCTTGGATTGCACAGGGCATATGTTATTTTGGTGAATGGGGGGTTGTGTTACGCTACGTTCGAGTAGTTGTGATCGGCGCTCTGTTGATTAGCCTGAGTGTGTTGCCAGGTCCGCGTATTATAAGCGACTTTGGGCTTGTTTTTATGTAAAGTTGCTTGGAAATATCGTCAGACCTTTAGGGCTTATTTCTAAAATGTATTTTCTGATGACAGGACAGGAGACCAGTCTTTTTCCTTTTCATATATCAGGCCTGTTTGAGAGGCCACTTCAGTTTGTCTTATTTATTTTAATGAAGGTTTAAAAGAAAAACATGAAATCTTATTTTTTATTCATTTATTAACTTATGACTCAGTTTTTGTTGCCAGGTTGAATTTGTGTAACCTTATTTAGAGTAGGGAGAGTAACGACGTGTTCACTGTCTTAAGAAGTTCAGATAGACTAGTATCATAGTATCATTTCTGAGTAAGAAATTCTGACATGGTCGTGAACTTGCTGACAGTCCTAATATGAATTAATTTAGTTTTTCACTGCATAAGCAACCATTGCAGATTGCCGTCTGTTACATAAAACACTTATTATCGTGTTTATTTAATCACCACTGCACTGTTGTCTTATTTAGCCATGTACACATTGGTCTTTGTTTATGTGTTTGTTTATTGTTAATGTTATACTTGTGTACATGTAGAGCTCATCCAAGTCAAAGCCCTCGTCTGTATTATCATACCTGGCCAATGAAACTGATGAAACTTTGGTTCTGATCCATTTGGACTCCTTTCCATCTTACAGTCAATGGTTTTCATAGACCTGGTTACTTGTTTCTCTCGCTTGATCTGGCAACACAAGCTGCTAGCTAGTTACGCAGTAGCATTATCGCGTCGGGCAGCTAGTGAAACATTGGACCAATGCCTTAGAAAAACACCTTTTTCTTCACCTCCCTCCGATAAAATGAATGTTGTCCTTTGATTCTAACGGACTCTGTTCGATATAAATAAACGCTAAACACCGACGTTAGTTGCAGACTGCCCTTTTTTAATTTTCAGCGGCAGCATTTTCCGCGTCTGGCCGAACGAGCTAACCAGCTAACCGAAGATAGCCTGTTAGCATGTTAGCATCGCCTGTGATGGAGAGCGATTCGATAATGGAAGGTAGGCCAGCTCACTTTTATTGATTTATTTCATATCTGTTTTGCTCAAACCAAACGTTTATGATATATGTATGATTTTATGTGATGCCACTAAAACCTTAAATAACGCGATGTGTCATGTTTTCAATCGGTGCTTTCTTTAGCATATCCGGAATGAGCTAACGCTAATGTAGCTCTTTGGCTAGCCTGCTCAGGGACGGTTTTTAAAAGGCTCCTTTACATCAACTAAAGTTTAATTCGGCTCTTCACAGACACATGGAGATTAACGTAAAGCAGGGTGTTATATTAATGTAAGTCATATAATAATACCCTAATAGCTCATATAATAAGCTAACAAAGCTGATGTTAGTGTTTCAGTGGTCTGCTTGTTTGAATAGAATAAAACGTCTTTATTGTCATTAAATGTTCACCTTAGTTAGAAATGCTTCCCCTTAAAGTGCACAAACATACAGACATCCACAGCTACAGATAACGTGCACTCAAGGCAGAGAAAAGAGACAATGTAGGCTATATATATATACATAGTAGTGTTTGTGTGTGTGTACTACACAGGCAGAGGAGTGAACACTGCACAGGTCATTAAATATATACTCCTGAAATACTGCTCTAAAACCTCATTAAATTACCTGGGCTTTTATTTCAGTCAGTCTACGAAATGACCCTGTCTGTATTTGGGACAGGGGTCAATATGAGACAGACCTTTAATGATTTTCAAACCCAACTGGTGCTCAGCAAAGAGGGGGAAAGACTTTAAAACACACCAGAGACGATATTTAAATGTGTAACCAAAAATAGGAGGATTTAAGTGAACATAATGAATTACAAACCACTGATCTGATCTCACTTTGTAAGACAATATGTCTTTTATATGTTATTTATTTTGGATTTTGAAATAATTAGCACACTAGAGCGTTTGGGGGTTCGGTGCCTTGCTCAAGGGCAGCACAGCAGTGCCTGGGAAGTGCACCTGAGTGCAGCTCTCCAGATGGGGGGGAGCATCCTTGTGTTTATATTTTGATCCACAAACGATCATGCACCAGAGTCCAATACAGAGCTGTTCATTCATCAAAACATGCAGCAACACCAGGCGAGTAAAAGGGACTGGGCCGTACATTGGGATGGGCATTTATTTTGAAGTTTTACAGGAAGTAGAATTAACCTGAATACTCCCACTTACGGTGGCTGTGGACGTGCAAACTAAAATTATAAAAACAAAACACTTTGACACGGGACAAAACTACGGCTCCTGACCGCCTGGGGGGTCACAAAAGGGTTCTAGGGGGGTCACGGAAACATGGAGTAAAGAGGGAACTGGAACAAAAATCAGCTTCTTCCAGTTTTATACATTTACATTTTGATATGTCCTTTAAGATGTTATTGATCATGAGTGGTTCTCACTGTTGCTGCCGTGACGCTGTGCTATATTTCAGCACCAGGCGCTGTGCTGTGTCTGCTGCGCGGCGCTGTTGGCGTGCACACTGTTTCTTGGCGTGAATGTTTGTGTCCCTGAGTGAGTCATCTTGTGGGCCCGATAATATTTGCGAGGTGAGAGCTCTAAATGGTCGTTTCCTTGCTGGAGCAGAATTTACAAACATCCTCCTAAATCAGCCGGTTCTCCTTTTTCATTAGGCTGAAAGGGGCGGAGTCACATTCAGTTAAGGTACCAGTGACTGTCCGTCTGAACATGAGGCAGGATGAGGTGACTTCACGAGCGGTTGTGGCGGTTGCCTCAGTTCCACACAGTTGGCTTGTTTTAACCCCCGTAATTCATTTAGCGGTTACAGCGACCGCCTTGGGGAGCGGCTGATCAGACGGTGATCGGCTGCTGTGCTTCAGTGTACGCTGCACGACCGAAGGCGAGCCATTGGGCTGAAGTTTTGCCCAGATTCTGAATGAGTTGTACGACTCTGAAATCGTTTGAATTGGTCTGCAATCGCTTCGTCTACATCTGGCATTTTGCAGGACCAGTGAGGGGTTAAGACTCCTGTTTGGTGGGAAGTCTCAGTGAGGAGAAGGCAGCGTTACCTGTGCCGTGTCAACGGCTCTACATATAGGAAGACATTTTTAGAAACTTGTCGTCAAGCGATGATATTTCAGAATGTATTTTCACAAAAGTGCCGTGACTTAGCTCAGTGGCATCACATCGTTGTATGCTCATATTGATTCCACTATGGCGTGATATTGTGTCTGAGAGACGTTGTGTTTCAGTGTTGCAGGAGCTCCACATACACACACAGTCAGACATGCACACAAACACACACAGCGCTCCCCTGATCCAGTCTCTCCTCTGAACACGGTACGGGGGGGGGGGGGTCACCGTTACGCCTCCATGACATTCAGATTGAAGGTGAAACATCACAGGGGCATAAATATTCACGGCTTGAAACGGCGGTCTGCACAGGACTCACAGGCACACACAACGTGGTTGACGTATAGAACGGTTCAATATTTTATTAAGTGTTGTCACTTTACTGGCACATCATACCGATCACTTTCGGTTTTGGATGATCAACAGACAACAAAATGTTTGAAGAGGTCAAAGGTGACTCTGAGTCAAATGTTCCCGCCGTGTTCTGCAATCAAATCATCAGATTTATAAAACCTCAACGTTTCAGTCTCAAAGTAAACACTCGTTGAGTGAAGGTGGTTCTTTCTCTCCTCCCTCTTTAACTCGTCCTGCTGAAAGTCTGTTGAACCGGGCTCTCCCCCTCGGCCTTTGCTGTCCTCCACATTCAAACCGTTCCAAAATATTCCAAACATTCACGGTGGGAGCGGAGCGGCGAGGGCTGTACTGCTGGTCACTGGAGCAGCTGGGATCAAGGACGGAGCTGATGAGAGCTGCTGAGAGATCGGTCCTCGTTACACTGATGAGCTCAGACTGCGCTTTCGGAGCAGGTCAAAGAATGCAGATCGTTGCGACCTGCAGAGACACACACGTAGACTATCAGATGATTTCAATTCTAGAAATAAAAACAGGAAATGAACTTAAAGTCAAGTCGTTCATACAATAAAACAGTGAAATCAGCAGAGCGAGCGTTGCAGGTCTGAGTAAAACATGAAATGGCCAACAGGATTTACTTTGTTAAATGTTGCACACCGACCAACAAGGGTCAGGGTGTTAGGGCGAGGTCATGTGAGGTGGTGAGTTCCTCCGGCGGGCACGGTAATCTTTAAAGAAATCCTGCAGTATGTGATGTTTCATTGTTGTCATCTCTTGTAGGGTGAGCATGTTTGAGATTATGGAGATGAATATCTGTTCAGATTCTCCTGATGTGTGTGACGCTGATTTTAAAACTCCTGCAGCCTCACATTCAGGCGCTGTGGTGTCACCTTTTACTGGATTTGCTTTTCAAATTCTAAAGAACAACACTTGATCATTTTAAAAACGCCTTCATTAGAGCGATCACAGATCAGAAATGACTTTCTACAGCTCTCACTTGAAACCCTAAGGCTGTAGCTGATGACTTTAGATCATTTATTGATTGATTGATGAATATTTCTGATTAAAAACACTGGCTGACTTGTAGACTAGATCAGCCTCTTGCAGATGTCATCAAACCCCTCAAAGGTCATCCCTAAACTTCAGTACAAGAGGAGCATTGTTTACATCTCTGCAGCTGGAAGCATCAAATAATCTGTGCTCCAGTAATAATCGTTCATGAACTATTTGGTGATAAAAGAATCTGCAGATGAATTTTCCCATCAGTCAGCCTATAGATTAATGGATTATGTGGCAGTGTAACAGAGAGCTTCTCTCCCTGTGCGTGGGTTCAGATCTGATCTTTGCCGCTTTGCATGCTGGGATATCTGGCAACAGCCTGACGGAGGAAATGATCCAAAACTGTGAGCAAAAAAAAAATCTGTAAACAACACAAACCTGCCTGGGCGGACTCGGCCATTAGCAGCAGACAGTACATTAAACACAGTTTGGTGTGTTAGTGGAGATAAATCAGAGCTTTGTAAACAGAATTAAAACGGAATCTGACTTTAAGCTGTGCGAGGAACACCACTAAAGCCGTTTACACTCATGAAAATATTGAGATAATGTCAGGAGGACTGCTCCTGAAATCCTCCTGACCTGTTCACACATGCACCTCACAGCGGGAGCAGGAGGGGGGGGGGGGGGGGGGGGGGGTGTAAGATATGATGTTAAAAAAAATGATGGGGAAGTAGCGTAGACGCAGCAGAGTCCTCTATACGACTACAGGGTTTTTCCTGGCTCAGAATGGGCCTTTGGGTGGTGACTAAACACGCTGTAGTAAACGTTCGACCCGGGTATTACAGTATAGTTTATGAGTCTGTATTACCTTATTTGACTGAAATCTATGCATTTCCTGTTATTTCTGACCATTTTATAAATAATTTTATCATTATGCTTAAGTTACTGAAACCCCAATTAAATCTGGTAAAGAATTTTATTTTTATTGCAACAGTGAAACAGAGGAGGAGAGGGAGGAGACGTTACGATCGTAAAGTTATTGATTGTTGATAAAAGCAGACACGGTGGAAGTGGACTGAGAAAAGTTGAACATTCGTTCCCGTTACATACGGGTTGCGGATTAACCGTGTTCTGTTGCACTACAAGTAAACAGGTGGTTAGCGTGTGTGTGTACGTTTGCAGCCATGTATGTTGGTGTGTCTCGTCTCAGCGTGCCCCCGCGATGACCCGTCTGCAGACAGCAGAGGAGCAGGGACAAGTAGCCGCAGCTACGTCACACGGTTATTATAACTTAGTATAGTTTTAACATGACTGTTGGGATAAATATTTACCATAAAGTGGATTACTCTTTGAAATTAACTCGCCAAACGGAAACTCAACCCGCATTTAGAGCTTGTGGGTGTCAGCAGAGCGTCCGTAACCAGTCAAAAGAAACAAACAGTCAATCAGCTGGCTATCCAGTGCGAGCCGCATGCGTAAATGGATGAGAGGGGAGTGCAAGAAGTCAAAGACGTCGTATTTAAGTTTATGTTCTGCTTGTTCAACAGTCGTTTGATGTATTGATATTTTTAACATACATTCAGAGAGAATTTGATTTGCAATTTGAATCGTTTTTTTTTTTTTGGGCGCTCGTGATTTTCCTTTGGCGCTGGGTAAAACCTCTTTGGGGAGCACCAAAGAATTCTCTATGCAGGAAAAACCCTGCACTATAATGAGAATATGTGTCTTTCTATCAATGCTACGTGTAGTTAAACAGAATCTAAATCTGAACCAAAGACTGGAGAAGAACATACTGGAGGACAGGAAACATAATGCAGCAGGTTCATTAGAGCACGGAGACGGAGAGGTGGCGTGCAGACAGTCTATGGTCGTGCAGCGATCACAGGGAATAAACGTCACCACCCCCTCCCACTCACTCCAGGTGAATTTTGCTGATTATATCCTGCTGCGTTCTCACAGCATTATATCTTTCTTAGATCCGTGGTTGATCTGTAGAGATAGATCCTTCAGTTAAAAGTTTGAAGTGAAAAGATTTATACTGAAGACAAGATGGTCACTCAACTGGAAAGTAACTGGGCATGTACGTGCATCACAGCTCGACACTCTGGAGAGTGGTGGTGATTGTTGTGATCCATACAGCGCCCTCTGCTGGTGAAACTGTTATGTTATCTGACTGTAATGTAATAAATGCATCGCCCTCTGTCTTCGTGTTTCTCTAAATAATGCAACACGAGCTCATGACTCTTACATGTTCTCATCCCCTCTGTCCCCCTCAGCTTAGACTCTGCATGGCGACGGACGGGCCTCAGCGGGAGTGAGCAGCCAATCAGAGCAGTCCATTGGTAGCAACATGGCGTCCCGTCAGAGGAACTCTGTGCGGATCCTGTCGAGCCGGGAGCGCGGCTCACAGACGTTCGGCTCTCAGAGGCTCCTGCAGCTGCTGGTGGAGGAGAAAGTCCGCTGGATGAAGTGGCAGAGTCAGGTTGGTACCTCCCTGTTGAGACACGAGGACTTGTTGCACATTTCCTCGACTCCTTTCCTTGTGTGTTAGTCGCTCCCACCTGAGACGAGAGTGGAGATGGCGAGGAGGAGACACAAAGGAAGAGGAGTAGAGGAAACAGGCTTAAATAAATCAGGGACAAGAGAGAGAGTTGTCAGGAAAATGTGAACTACAAAAAAAAGGTAAACATATTTATATATTAGAGGGAGAGGTGACAAGCTATCTGAGTGAAATGTTGCGTAGAGCCCGAGGTGTATGAAAGGTTTTGATGTAGCGATTTTTCCAGGAGACTTATTTCCTAGTCAGATACGGAAACGGAAATGTAACGCTGCAGGGCTGCCAGAGGAGGGCTGCTCTCCAGCTCTGGGAGAAGAGAGTCTATGTAAGAGGTTTTAGAGGCTTACGTAGAGGCTTGAAGCCATCTTGTGAAATTCTTGGTTTCATATCGGGGAACTATGGCGTGATTTACAGAAGAAGCCGTTTAACGCCCTCTGCAGACTTATCCTGGGATTACTCCAACATACGATTACCTCATGATCTGAAACTTTGCCCACGTTTAGTTTGGACATCCAGGGTCTATTAGAGTTTGAAAAGTGAATCCTCCTGACGTTGTCTGAATGTTTGTTTGTGCCTCTGACAGAAAGTGGAGCTGCCAGACAGCCCTCGCTCAACCTTCCTGCTGGCGTTCAGCCCCGACAGGTGAGACTATCCCTCCACACTGATCAGCTCTGATGAAGTGAAGTAGATCTCTAACCACTTCTCTTCCTCTCACAGGACCCTCATGGCTTCCACACACGTCAACCACAACATTTACATAACGGAGGTGAAGACTGGAAAGTGCCTACATTCCCTCGTGGGCCACCGTAGAACCCCCTGGTGTGTAACCTTTCACCCCACCATCCCCGGCCTGGTGGCCTCCGGGTGCCTTGACGGTGAAGTCCGAATCTGGGACCTACATGTGAGTATCGACCGTGACGTCGGCCTTAAATGGTGTCAATGAGTTTGAAATTAAAATCAGAGGATCCTGGGAGCACCCTGCTTCATCCAATCAAGAAATTACCTGATCTGCAGTGATAAAAAGTGTTTGTGTTTGTGTCTGCAGGGCGGCAGTGAGAGCTGGTTCACGGAGAGTAATGTAGCCATCGCCTCGCTGGCCTTCCACCCGACCGCTCAGCTGCTCCTCATCGCCACCAACAACGAGCTGCACTTCTGGGACTGGAGCCGACCGGAGCCCTTCGCCGTGGTCAAGACTGGCAGCGACACTGAAAGAGTCCGGTGAGTTAAACCTGGGACGCCGTGGACTTACTATCTCGGCACAACACCAGCGCCTCAGTTGCCTCCATAGGGATCCAGTATTTTCAGCAATTGACCCTTTTTTGGCTCTCTGATTGGTCCGCTGACCCACCAATTAAGAGCCTCTGATGAAACAGAATCTGATGTTTGTCTCTGCTGTTCTTTCAGGTTGGTGAGGTTTGATCCTCTCGGTCACAACCTGCTGACGGCAATCGTGAATCCCTCCAATCAGCAGGTGAGTTTGAGTGCAGATCTCTGACTGAACTAGATTCATGTAGGAGGAAATTTTAGTGCCAGACGGCTTCAAAGTTACACTGTGGGATTATTCACATCAGTTATCAGTCAAAGTATCAAGAAGCACCGATCTGCAAACACATTAATGGGGTTTGTTGCCCTGAGCCCAGGCTCACAGGCCAGGCTGCGTACCGCTTTGCCCGCATTGTACAGGAATCATATTTCAAAAACACAAACTATAATGGACCCATTATCGTAGCCTCCTCAGTAAAACTGCACTCACGACAGCTATCCAGCTCAGTAATGTTCGTCTTGAACTCACTGGGTGCTACCGCGGACTGGCAGCCTAGCCTGTGAGCCTGGGCTCAGGGCAACAAACCCCACTATGTGTTTGCAGATAGTCAGACACACATGGATCTTGCACGGCAGGAGTGTTGCAAAATTCACGTGTAAATGACAGCCAGTGGAGAGGCCTGCCTCAGTTGTAAGCGAAAATAAGTGTATTTTCAGGATTTACAGCTGAAAAAGTTCACTGCCCTTAATAAATGAGTAAATATTTCTAAATTGGCCTACATATTTGCAGATTAGTTTACGCATTTGTGGATCTTTTTACACATTTGTGGATCTGTGTGTGCATATTCAAATAGTTTTACCACAATAATAGCTCCATACAATAACCTATTAAAAGATGTGAGAACTCGATGAGTTACTGTGTTGATCTGCATTTCAGAACGAGGAGGACTCCGAGGTCCCCATGGACAGCGTGGAGATGCCGCACTTCCGTCAGCGCTCCTTCCTGCCCTCACAGCCGGTCCGCCGCACGCCCATCCTCCACAACTTCCTGCACATCCTGTCGTCTCGCTCCCCGGGGGCTCAGACAGGAGGGGAGCAGCCACGCCCCCTCGGTGATAGCGGAGGCAGTGTGGGGGAATCTCCCAGCATGCCTCTGACTCAGTACCCTGGCTCTGACCGCGGGCCTCCCTTCCCTGGCTGCACCCAGCACCTTGGCATGGTGTGTCTTTGCAGCCGCTGTTCTGTCAATCGTAACCCCTCCCTCTCTGTGAACACCGCCCCTCCTGAAGTTCCGCCTCCCCCCTCAGCCTCCACCTTCTCCTCAGCCCGCACAGAGCCCAGACAGCCGTCAGAGCGCCCCTCCGCCTTCACATCAGTCTACTACAGCGCAGGCTCTTCTATCAGCACCACGGCCCCTAGTATGGAGCAGCACACCGCCCCCCAGACCCGGACCAGACTGGACCCGCAACCTGCTCAGTATGAGGGAGGGAGGGGTGGGTCCAGGTATGCTGCCTCCAAGAACCTCCTCCTCCTCCATTAGCCTCCTGTCTGTGCTTCGCCAGCAGGACGGCTCCTCTCAGTCCCCCGTCTACACCTCCGCTTCCGAGGGGCGGGGCTTCCCTCAGCCAGGAGAGTCTGGGGGGCGAGATGGAGCTGGAACGAGCAGCGGGCACCACCCGTTCTGGGATGGCTCACGTGGTAACACGGCGTCTTTCCGCAACGTTCTGCAGTGCAACCTGAGCCGCTACTTCATGGAGTTCGACCGCATGCAGGACCTGGAGCCGCCTTTAGGTGGCGCCATGGGGGAGGGTGGTCAGGAGCAGAGCCAAGAACTGCTGAACAATAACATGGACCCTGACAGACCTGGGCCTTCATCCTCCTCCTCCTCAAACCCCACCATCATCCACTACCAGCCCCCCCTTCCTCCACCCCCCTCCTCCCACAGCCTGGAGAACAACGTCCCTCCCCCCGCTTCCCGGGGTCACCTGAATCGTTGCCGGGCCTGCCACAACCTGCTCACCTTCAACCACGACTCTCAGCGCTGGGAACGCACCAACCAGGCCTCTTCCACCTCCGCCTCTGGCCTGGAGCCCTCCTCTTCTTCCTCCTCCTTCCCCCCATCTGCACCTCCATGGCAACCAGAGGAGAGCAGGAGAACACTAGAAGCCCCTCCCACTGAGAGGAGGGGGCCTCCGGAGCCCAGCGAGCAGCCGCCGCCGCCCCCTGGAGCAGGACCAGTGGCCTTCCCAATCGCTCCGACCCCCAGCCAGTCCGGGGAGCAGACGGTGGGTCTGGTGTACAACCAGGACACAGCACAGTGGGAGCGGGTGTACCGACAGGCCGCGGCAGGGAGGACGGTCGAGCCACCGGAGGCCTTAAGCCAAGAAATGCCTGTTGACCCCCCCGACGAGGACTCGCTCAGGAGGTACGAGCTCTACCACCATTTTTAAACCCACAGAGGAGCTAAAAGTTTAACTTTGTAGTTTTTTAATCTTCATCATGGCGTGTGTTTCGTTCCTCTCAAACAGGCGACTGTTGGAGTCGTCTCTATTATCGCTGTCTCGCTACGACATGTCAGGATCCAGAGACCATCCCATCTACCCTGACCCAGCCAGGTAGGTTGTTAGAACAGAACAGAATCCCTTTACAAGACTACATTAGACAACTACAAGCTCGAGTCCAGTAAACTTTACCGCTACCTGGTTAGAAGCTTTACCGGTCCCGTGTGTGTCCAGACTGTCTCCAGCTGCTTACTACGCTCAGAGGATGATCCAGTACCTGTCGAGGAGGGACAGCATCCGCCAGCGCTCTCTCCGCTACCAGCAGAACCGTCTGCGGGCCATGTCATCTTCATCGGACAGCCCCACCAGCAACCCGTCCAACTCCATGGACAACAGCGACGTGGACTTTGAGGAGCTGGAGTGAGTTCCATCTCCTCTGCAGATAAAACACATGACAGTTTGTTTATTGCTGTTTGTACCGATGACGTAAGACCTGCTTTGTTTGTGGTTTTGTTCTTTAATGGGACTTATCATTTTGTGTGTTTTTTTTTTTCAGTGATAACGGAGACAGAGCGAGACATAGGACTCCTCGTAACGCTAGAATGTCTGCGCCCTCTCTGGGCCGCTTTGTCCCGCGGTGAGTTCAGCTCAAAGACCCTCTTCTCTGCTTCCTCTTGGCTGAACAGAGTGCAGAACCTGCTCTCTTCTTTAAACCACGAGTAGCAACAAAACGTTTACTGTACAGCCCTGGATGATATGTGCAGAATCTAAACACAAAAACCCATTTAGTGTTTTAAGCATCTCTTCTTCTGTGGTGTTCTCCTGCAGGCGGTTCCTTCTCCCCGAGTACCTCCCCTACGCTGGAATCTTCCACGAGAGAGGGCAGCCCGGCCTGGCCACACACTCCTCAGTCAACAGAGTGCTTGCTGGTAAACACATAAACCCTTTTCACACATACAGGAATCTCCTGAAAAACTCTGGAGATTTGGCTACCCGGAGGGTCTTTAGGCTATGTGTAAACACAAGCAGCCGCATTTTTCAAGCAGACTTTACCCGGAGTTTCTCCGGCCAGACCCCTAATATTTTATCTGCAGAAAATCTGAGTGATCTGATGTCTGAACGCAGCAGCATATACTCTGGAGGATTCACCGCGAGCCAATATTAAGAAATGACGTTTTACAATGACTGCTGCACGGTGCAAGTGTCTGCACGCGACCACTACAATCTCCATGCTCTAATGCACCTGCTGCATTATGTTTTCTGTTCGTCAGTATGTTGTTCTCCACTCTTTAGTGGATGTTGTCATTCCATTGGATTACACATAGCATTGATATAAAGGCAAATATTCTCATTATAACATCGTGTAGCGGACTCTGTTGCTTCAGCCGCTACTTCCGCGTTGTTTATTTATGTCACGTCTTACCTGAGGAAACCCCCCCGACCCCGACAGGGATAGTCCCCCGCTGTGAGGAGCATATGTGAACGACTAGGTCGGGAGAATCTCTGGAGCGTTCCTCCTGTAATCATCTAGATATTATCTGGAGTGCATATGTGAAAACGGCTATACACACAGAAACACACTAACACACTCTAGGTTTCAGATGTTTGTTGTGGTTTGGCACCAGACTCTGAAAGGCTTGATGAAATGTTGAGTTCTGGTAGGAAAGTGAAGACACTCAGTGACTCCCGTGCTTTATTACACAGTGCGTCTAATCTGTATTTAACACACCAGTTTCAGACACAGACCGCGTTACCTTGTCTCCCTCAGGTGCATCTATCGGGGACGGTCAGTCTGCGGTGGCCAGTAACATCGCTAACACCACATACCGCCTGCAGTGGTGGGACTTCACCAAATTCGACCTGCCTGAGATCAGCAACGGTACGCCTCCTGTATTCTCTTTGCATTCCATAATGAAGTTATCACTTCTGGTCTGAAACACTTACAGATGTTTCTGTGTGTCTCTGTCTCCTCCTCAGCTTCAGTCAACGTTCTGGTGCCAAACTGTAAAATCTACAACGACGCGAGCTGTGACATCTCTGCAGACGGTCAGCTGCTGGCAGTCTTCATTCCCAGCAGCCAGCGGGGTTTTCCAGACGAGGGCATCCTGGCCATCTACTCTCTGGCTCCACACAACCTGGGAGAGATGCTCTACACTAAGAGATTCGGTACAGACTTCCCTCTGCAGCTTCGCCTGCTTCAGTAAAGACTGTAAACCTGAGAGTCAGACACAGAACTGCTGTTTATTTTTTAATGTTTATTTTCCCTCCACAGGACCAAATGCCATTTCGGTCAGTTTGTCTCCCATGGGCTGCTACGTCATGGTCGGCCTGGCCTCTCGCAGGATCCTGCTGCATCCCACCACCGACCACATGGTGGCGCAAGTCTTCCGCCTGCAGCAACCTCACGGAGGAGAGACATCCATCAGGGTGAGACTTCTTCCACACTGTCACCGCAGCATGCTAGCACACACAGGAAGGACGAGCACAGGGGTTTCACGACATGACGCAAGTGATTCTGACACCCTGAAGAAGAACTCTTATCTGATTTTCAACTTAAACTCAACTCTTTGTCCCTGAGGTGAAAATATAAAACACACACAGAGACATGTGCACACACCTTAAAATACATGTTTATTTAAATGTGTCAAAAGGAAACCCAGAGTTTGTGTCACTGCCGCTAAAAGCCTCCGGTGAATATAGGGTTAACTCGTCACAGTGAAGAACTATCAGAGAAAACGATAGTTTGCAGCATCGACCCAACAAACTGATGGAAATCATCCCACAGGAACAAATACTTTAAACCTTTGTTCCCTCTGCGATGCATACAAGAGTACATCGATCTCCTACCACATTATCTCGCTGTGATTTCAGTCGGACAAACGTGTTTACATTGATTTTAAAAGTCCAGTTTTAGGCGCACTCGCACAAGGCGATCTATACTGTGCTAAAGCTTCACCCTGAAAGTCCGGTTCCTTTGACTAGTGTGTGTGCTCAAGCTCGTCACTTTCTTGCTTCAACACGGTATGGAGCAAACAAGCCTCTTGTGAGTGCCCCCTAACACGCGTGAATCCATCCTCACGCTCCTTCAAAACATGAATGATCTTAATGACATCATCAAGTTGTCTTTCAGATGGTGTTCAATGTGGTCTACCCAATGGCTCCAGACCAGCGGCGCCACGTCAGCATCAACTCGGCTCGCTGGCTTCCTGACCCGGGGATGGGTCTGGCTTATGGGACCAACAAAGGAGACCTGGTCATCTGCCGGCCTGTGTGAGTGTCCGACACTCGTCAATTAATAATGATAAATTCATTTAGCAAATCGTGTTTTTATTGTTGTTTGAAGATGCAGATAGTTTCTATTTGAACAACAACCTGAGCCTGTGAGTGACAAAACCAGCAATTTTTAGAGGATCAACATTTACCCCCACAGCTTCACGCTCTGCTGCGCTCGATACAGAATCATTACAAATGTTGTTCATATGGTTTGTTGGATTTCCCTCTGATGTCGAGAGCTTCTCTTCCTGCTGCTCGATGAGCGTGTAGCTGATGAGATTATCTTAATGGCCGATGTGAACAGGAAGACTGTTAATTGGAGGAGCTGAATTATTGCTTTTAATGAGGTCGTGGTCTGTGTGATTCCACGAAGAAACCCCTCCTCTGCTTTCAAGACTTCCTGAATGGAAGTGAATTAATTGTGTGTGTGTGTGTGTGTGTGTGTGTGTGTGTGTGTGTGTGTGTGTGTGTGTGTGTGTGTGTGTGTGTGTGTGTGTGTGTGTGTGTGTGTGTGTGTGTGTGTGTGTGTGTGTGTGTGTGTGTGTGTGTGTGTGTGTGTGTGTGTGTGTGTGTGTGTGTGTGTGTGTGTGTGTGTGTGTGTGTGTGTGTGTGTGTGTGTGTGTGTGTGTGTGTGTGTGTGTAGGTTCTATCGCAGCGATGGTGAGAGCCCTGCAGAGTCAAGCAGTGAACCTTTATTCTCCGTCAACAACAGTGGGACGAGTCGGACCCGAGGTTCAGACAGACCGGGGTGAGAACCTGCAGAATGTTCTCTGCTCTGTGACACTCACACCAAACATCTGACTTTGACATTTTTACGTTTACGTGTTTATTGCTCCTTCATTAGATTAACTTCAGACACAACACAGCGCTCCTATCGAACTCAGAAAACAGCTTCAAAGTTAAAGAGGACATATTCTCCCACTTCTCCACCTTTTCAAACAGTCCCCTGTGGTCTAAATGAAACATCTGTTTCTGTGCTTTGGTCAAAATATAACATGAATCAAGCACCAGAGGAGGTTTGTGAACCTGTATAAACCAGCTCTCTCAGAATGCTCCGTTTTGGTGTGTGTGTCTCTTTAAATCCAATGAGCCCCCCCCTGAATTTTCCCGGTACACATCACTCCTTTACTAGCAAGAATAAAAATGGCCGACCTGCTCAAAAGTCTTGCTCTAGGCTGGGGGTGGAGTCCATGGATGGAGATATCAGGGGAGGGGATTTTTTTTACCAGAATCCCACTGTGACATCACAAGGAGAGCACATTTGAAACGGAGCATTTTTCTGTGTAGTAAGACTTATGCAGACCACAAACAAAGGACTGGATGGGTTTATTTTACATCTTGTGGGTCAGTAGACACTCAGGTTACCCAAATATATGTTCACAAACACTGTACAAGTGGATTTTTCATAATATGTCCCCTTTAATGATAGTCAGACGCTTTCTCCTCCAAAATAAAATACAGACGTACATATGTGGTGGTGACTGTGTCTGCAGTGACCCTGTCCTCTGACTGGATTTTACTGAAAACATCTAACAACTCAAAATGTACTTAAACATTAGTTTGTACATTATAAAGAGACTTAGAGTATTTAAAGATATTTTGTCTTATTGTAAAGTCAATTCTCAATGTATGAAAGCTGCAGAGCTGTAAGGGTTAACGATGCAGAACTCTCTTTGCTGTCGCTCATTTGTTTAAAGTTTATTAGTGTCTGAACTCTTGATGCTCATTAATGGTCCATCAGGAGGAACCACGCCTCTTCAAAGTGAAGCATAAACACCAAACATGGCATCCTAGAGTGGCGTCAGTTAAAGCTTTAAATTGAATAATTTAAAGGTGGAGTCAGTTTGTGAACATATCATTCAAACTGGGCCCCTCCCCCAGAAGCTCCACCCCCTGCAGGACGTAATGTGTATGTTTACTGCTTGTCCTTACGTTGCAAACTAACGCACTCTAGCACAAGCTAACCGCCGGCGTTTGTCACCTGCCTGTCCAACAGGAAGTAGACCAACTCCACGTCCACGGGTAAAAGCCAACACAAGGTTCACCCTCGTTTTAGAACGAGCTTTATCACCTTTGTGTTTCTTTTCACTGTGATTATGTTTTCTCTTCTTTGCTGCTACGTCCACGTCCGTCATATTCACCGGTTTGAATCGTCCAATCACTGAATTGTATCCACTCCTAAACTCACCTGCTGCGCTCTCATTGACTGGAGGAAACACACCAGCTCCGCCCAGAAACGTCCCGGGTCAACCAGAACAAACCAGAACAGTAAAATCCAGTCAGAGGACAGAGTCTCTGCAGACACAGTCACCAGCACATATGTATGGAGGCCCAGAAGGGACAATGGAGCAGCTTCACTTTAAGTCTGTGTTTTATTTTGAAGGAAACAGGAAACTGACTCTACCTTGAAAGAAGAAATACACATTTTCCATATTCTTCATATTTTACTGTTCTCCACTAACGTTGTCGGTCTGCTGCGTTATTTTAGGCCGAATCGCTCCGGTTGGAGGCTGGACAGAGACATGGGTTTGATGAACGCCATTGGTCTTCAGCCCAGACACCCCACCCCTTCAGTGACATCACAAGGAACCCAGACGCCAATCATCCAGCTGCAGAACGCCGAGACCCAAACGGAGAGGGACCTATCAGAGCCCAGCGTCTCCCAGCCGCCACCCAGTACGGAAGCACTTTCATATTTATATTTACAACCACAGTTTAGATTTCCTGACTTCTTGAATGCATCAGAAATAATCAGCCCGACCTCCATCCAACAAACAAACGAACATTTTAGTGAGTGAGAGTGAAGCCTCTGTGTGAACTGAGAAACATAATGCAGCAGGTTCATTACAGCACGGAGATCGTAAAGGTGGCATTCAGACAGTCTATGGTCGTGCAGGGATCACAGGGAATAAACGTCACCACCCCCTCCCACTCGCTCCAGGTGAATTCTCCTGATTATATCCTGCTGCGTTCTCACATCAGCTCACTCTGACTTTCTGCAGAATAAATACGAGGAGGCTGGAGGAGAGAGGGGGCGATAATGAACATGTGTAAACGGTTTTATTGATCTCTCTCTGTTTCCTCGTCTCTTCCTCAGACGTCCCTCCTGAAACTCCGTCCACCAGTGGAGCGGCGTCGGGGCAGGTGGAGGCGTCTCAGAGCGCTGGAGCTGCAGACGGAGCAGTGGGTGAAGCTTCAGCAGAGTCCAACACGTCCACAGGGAGTACTGGTACTGCTGCACAGTGTGCCACACAGACACTCTGATGGTTTAACACCTTTTTACCTCCACGCATTCTCTACTCATGTTTGTGTGCATGAACATTAAACTGTGGGACGAACGTGTTTTTAAAGTGTCTGTCTGTGTGAAGCTGCAGGTGAACACTTGTCTGTTCATCGTCTTTAAACACGTTATAGAGCATGAGCTGGGCCCACATCTGGGTGTACCGTTACGTCCAACCTACAGCTGAAAGTCACGACCACCTTAACGTCACATCCTGTGCACCAGCTGGACTTGAACCCGGTTTGATTTCACCCTGGGTCTAAGGTTGACAGCTGTTGGAGTCCAAGTCGTATCCAAGGTGACGCGAAAACGTTTCACAAAACTTAAAAGTAAAAAACGACGAAAGCTTGTCTTGTCAGGAAGATCAAAGTATAGAGAGAGAGAGAGAGAGAGAGAGACCTGTGATTGAAAGACGAACCTGCAGCAAGTTTACTCAGTGAGCCAATCAAAAGGTGGCATGTGTCAGACAGAAACATGGCGCTGTCCCCGACCTGCAGGTGCTGATTGTCTCTGAGTGTGGTTGTGTCCTACGTACCCGTGTAAATACGGAGGCAGGCGCCGTCATTAATGAGTGCGCTCACTGCACACGCCATGATGCACACTCCTTCATTGTGAATGACAAGCCGCTGCATGCTGGGAAACAAAGCTAATGAGGCTGCTGTCTCCACTTTCTCTACTAAGAACCTTCTTCCTCTCAGGGAGAACCCTTAAAACTGGTGCAACTTCTATTCCAGATTTTACGGTAACCACTCAAAGACCCGAGGTCGTATCGTTAAAAACATGAGATGTCAAAAAATATCAAAATCTCTGACGAACCTTAAACTCCTGTAGGATCATATTTCCTCTTGTGCTTTAAGTTGTCGTATAAGTTTGTGTTTAAACAGACTCTGTCATTTAAAGGTCGTGTCATGTTTTTATTTATTACTGAAACATGTCAAAGTAACACGCACCTGAACGCCATTAAACATGTTGAAATGAGTCATCAAAGAACTGACCGAGGTCCCATCTTCTCTCTGGATTTTGCAGATCTTTGTGTTCAATCTCACAGTTCAGAACATTTGTTGAACATACAAGAGAAATAAAGTCTTTCCTTCATAGTGAGGCGGAGTCGGAGTTTTTTTATTTTTTTAAATGAGCAACAAAAGACGCCAAAAGTTCATCTTTTCTGAAGTCATCTGGAGATAGTTTCTGAACATTCATTCAGCTCCTGGTTAAAGAACAGGGCTCTGGAACATTGTTCTTCCTGTTTACAGCTTCTGAGCATTATGGGAAATGTAGTTCTCGACTTATAAACTAGTTGATGGAGAAAAGATTCATGACAGTCGCTGACATCCAGTTTTTGGAGTTGTAGCTCGTAGCTACTTTACTGTGTGTGAGGGGATGTTTTACTTTGGGTCTTTTTCAAACCAGCCACTACACCCTCTCCCTACCCACTACCCCTCCATTTGCGCGTCCTCGCGGAGGGTTTACCATATTAAGTCCGTCCCAAACCAATTAGCGGGGAGTGGTAGTGGGTTATAAAACCCTCCACCAGCGAGTGTGCACCAATGCCGACTTTTGAATCACGTGCGACGCCTATTGTGTCCAGTCGTCATGGATGAAGCAACCTGTGAGTTCAAGTACCTACAAACACTGCTCCAACTAAGATAGACATTTAATATCGTCATACAGACGTTAACAACTTCAAATGTGTACTGAGAATCAAATTTATGTTTATTTATTGTAAAGTGTTTCATATTTACAGGGACTGTAAAAAAAAAAAAGAATATTAAATCATGTTGCAGAAAACTTTCACTGTTAATATTTATTTCTTATTTTTCTACTTTTGATGTCTTTGTGAAATCTCAATTCAAAAATAAAAAATACACTTGTTGCTGCTCTGATGTTCAACAATATTATCCTTGTATTTGCATTAATTTAGGACACCATGTTTTATGAAATTACAATAAATTAACTGAAATTATAAATTACAATAAACAATATAGGCTCAATCTAATAGTTTTGTTATAAGTCTACACTAATATAACTAAAGAAGAAGAATAAACTAGGCTACATAAATATTTTTACAGAATGCATTAGCTACAAAAAAAAAGCTGATCCTGTTTCCACCTGAGAGAGGGAAGTTTTTCCCAAAGCCTGCCGCTGTATTTCTACCCTACACCTTGATGAAGGAGACTTCATTCAGCTGCGAATGTCAATTCTAACGGAGTGCACTCCGTCACAGAGGGGGAGGGTGTAGGTGTTGGTTTGAAAAAGGGCCTTCCTTTGTTGTACATTCCCCAATGAATTATGGGAAGTTTATAGAGCTTAGAGCATTGTAGACTAAAGAGAGTAGTTTTAGCGGAGTGTGTCCCTGTCAGTGTGTCGGATCATTAACTGTGAATCTGGACTTGTTGGACTTTTTGGACCGGGATCTGACTCGTGTCATTTCTCTTGTTGTTCCAGCAGAGTCTCCGGAGTTTGGCACGGGCGAGGACGCTCTGGCTCGGATCCGTCGGCTGATGGCAGAGGGCGGGATGACGGCGGTGGTGCAGCGTGAGCAGAGCACCACGATGGCGTCGATGGGCGGCTTCGGGAACAACATCATCGTCAGCCACCGCATCCACCGCGGCTCTCAGACCGGCATTGGTGCCTCCAGGCCGTCAACTGACCCCTCCCTGAGCTCCCCCTCCACCTCCACCTCAGGTCCTCTCCTTGTCCCCCCTCCCCAGCCCCGTCCCCTCTCTGAGCAGCTGTGGGGCCCCCCACCGCCCGGCCTCTCTCTGGACATGGACGACGTGTTTGATAGTGGGCGAACAGATGATGACTCCTTGCCCGGTCCTTCCTCTTCTTCCCTGCTGATGTCTTCCCCCTCTTCCTCCTCCTCCTCTTCTCGCAGCCCCCTTCCCAGCGTCAGCGGGGGAGGCGGGGTCAGCCCCCCTGACAGTTACCGGGGGGACCCATACAGCAGGTAGTTCTCCTGTTGTCAGGAGAGGCAGAAGGGCGCTCCTTGAAGCCTTATCTCACAAAGATATGGGTGCTGCTTTGACTATTCACATGGTCTCCTGCCTGGAAAATAAGGGACACAAGAGCCCCGCCTCCCCCCTCCTCCCCTCTTGGAGCATCAGCGGCATGGTGTGTACTTCCTCTGCACTTAAAGAAACCTGGACTGAAGCTGAACCGCCATCATTCCTTGCCTACTTGAACGGAGGCCGGTCGGCGCCGCGCTCTCTCTGGGAAAAAAAAAAGATGGTAGACAAAGTGCCATGTCTGAGGAGGGGTGTGTGTGTGTGTGTGTATGTGCGTATGTGCGCGTGCGTGTGTGCGCGCTCTATCTCACACACACTTTACTCCAGCGTGCTGCGTTCGGTGCCATGTGATGTTGAACTTTGATGTGATTGAAGTGTGTAAAAGTCAGCACTACTTTTATTTTGAAGCCTGTTTTTGTACCCTGTGTAATTATCATGTTTGAACCCTGAGACTGGACCCAGACTCGGATCATGACCTACAGATCATGGAGGAAGTTACTGCGCCCCTCCCCCCCCTCGTGGCGTAAGAATCATGGCTGAACAGACTCCACAGACTGAACGTCCTGCATGTCTTTAACGCTGCAGATCTTCAGAGACGCTGATTATTTTTATTTTGAAAGGCTGGAGAGGAGAAGAACAGTTTCCTGTTTAGGGGGGCATGGGGGGTTGGACGGTGAAGTGGGGGGGGGGAACACATCATGCTCTACTTCAAACACCCCATCCCCTCCCCCACCCCCTCTAAAACCGACCAGTTGCACTATGGAGAGTTTGGTGCTAGGACAGAGAGTGTGTGTGCGTGCGTGCGTGCGTGCGTGCGTGTGCGTGTGCGCGTGCGCCTGCGTTTGTGTGTTCGATCACTGAAACAAACATTCAAAGGTGGTGAGCGTCACATTTCCTGCTTTTCATCCGTGTGAGGTGACATTTCGAGCTATGAAAAAACAAATATTCCGCAGATTTTCTTTTTCTTTTTTAATTAATCATTGAAAATACTGTATGATTTCACAAACAACCTTTGAAAGTACAGACTGCTGATAAATATGGACACGTCCTCCTCCCATTGGACAGAGATGAAGCGTTCTTTGTCGGGCACTGACAAGAAGGGAGCAGTTTCCTAACTTAGTGATAAAAAGGGCAAAGTTCCCGCCCCTCCTCTAATCTGATATTCCGGTGCTGACAGCAACGCAGGCGCCTCATTGGTCAACAGAGCTGTCAATCATATCTCAGAAAGAAGAGCGTTGACCGCAGCTATCACGACCAAACCACGCGTTTGTATTTAAATGTTTTACTGCTTGTACCTACACTGCAAGCTAACGGCTTGTGTTTGCAGGAAGAATCTCCAGAATATTACCAGTTACATCATCATGGTGTCCTCGTCGACGGAGTGTTTTTATCCGGCCTCTTAAATCAGCTGTTTTCTCACAGGATGTTGGTGCAGAGCGCTCACACGGTTGTCTTAGTGTGAAATGAGAAGTAGTGATCTGAGCAGGTGCGTGCGTGCGTGGGTGTGTTTGTGTGTGTACACCACAGGAACTGACACCTTGAAAGTCCTGTAAGGTCCAGAACTTCTCGTTCTCTCTCTCTCTCTCCCTCCTTTTCTCACTCCCTCTCCCTGTTTCTTTGTCTCTCTCTCCCTCCCTCCCTCCCTCTCTCTCTCTCTCTCTCTCGCTCCCTTCTTCTCTCTCTCCCGTCTTCTCTCTCTCCCTCTCTCTCCTCTGCCGTGTTTATATAAAACATCCAAACGTCATATTCTTAATTTTGTTCGTTGGTCCGTTTGTTGTGAGAGACGAAGCAAAGTGTCACCGATGTGGATTTCCTGTTTGACTTTAATGTGTTAAAATGTAAATATGATTAAAATAACAGCAGAGCTCCGTCTGCAGGAAACAAAGGGCTTTACCCAACGATGGTTCTCCTTTCTCATTCATCTGCTGGTTTAACGATTTAATCGACTCTTTAAACATCTTCATCGTCTCTCAGAGAGCAGCCGTCCAAACATCACCCTCAAACCTTAAGACTCAGAGGAGAAGAGAAGCAAACAGGAAGTGACTGAAATCATTAACAGGTTATTCAAAGAGTTAATTTCTTTCAGTCGAGTGTTTCACTTTTTGCTGAATCTGTTGGACAAAATCACTTTAAAGGTCACATATTCTCCTCCTCTTCAACCAATGTTAAATAAGTCTCAGAGCTCCTCAAACCATGTGTGTGAAGTTTCTTGTTATAAATCCACTCTGATCCTGTATTTGATCATGCCTATAAACCCCTCTATTTCAGCCCTGCTCAGAACAGACTGTTTCTGTGTTTGTACCTTTAAATGTAAATGAGCTGTGTTTGACCACGCCCCCTCTCTGGAAGGTCTCGGGTGTCTCAGGCTTTCTCGCTCCATATCCTATTGTTTACTGTGAGAAGGCAGACTCAGAGGGCAGAACAAACACCTAGCTGTGGGAGTGTCACCCACTTGGGGGAGGGGTTACTGCCCTTTCTGATGTCATGAAGGGAAAATCTCCAAACGGCCTGTTTGAGCACACATTTTCTGAAAAGTGGAGCAGGCAAAAGATGGAGAGGATGGACTTTTCTCATCATTGGGGGGTTTGTAGACAAACTAGAGACACTTTAGAGTTAGAGAAATGTGGAGTGGATTTTAAGAATATGTGACCTTTAAAGGAGCAATCAAAGATAAAACATTGACTCCATAGTTTCTTGGTTTGGAGACTTAAAGCAGACGGGATCTATACTTTTGATCTTCCAAGTTATTTTTGTCATTATTAAATCGGACAGCTGAAGAGATACCGGAAGTGAGGAGAGAGAGGAGGAGACCTGCAGCAACAGGTCGAGGTCAGATTTGAACTCACGGCTGCTGTGATGAGGACTTTAGCCTCCGTAGATGAGGCGAGCGACATAATCGTGCAAAATAAGACGTTAATTTAGTTACCTTAAATGACGACTTTGATCTCGTGTGGATGTTGAAGAAAATGATCTTTGATTCTTCGTGTTCTGATCAGAGAGCAGATTCTGCCCCTAAACCTGAAACACCTGAAGTGACGCCTTGTTCATTTCCTGTGCTGGAATAAGCCCCTCCCCCTTGGACCCATATGACCCCCGCCCATCTCCTTTCCTCCTTTAAAGTCATGCAGAAGAAAATAACTTGAATTTTTGGATAAAGTGCTCCTTTTTTCCTGTGAGAGCGAGCGAGTGTACAGATGCTGCTTTACTTTTTTTTATTTCACGTGTGCTTCACACACACAAACGCACGCACACTGACAGTGATGTGTATGTGAAAGGGGGAGGGGTTACTTTGGACCTATGAGGTAGAGGCAGAGTTAAAGCCCCGCCGACAGCTCTGCAGAGACACTGTGTGATTGGAGGACAGCTGGTTACTTGTTTTTGTTTTTTATTATTTAAACTTCCTGTCCTGCAGCTGAGGTCTGGTTTCCACGGCGACCCGGCTGACTGACAGCACGTGACAGGTGATCTGAATGCTCCTCCTGACTTTACTTGATTCATGAACATTTTGAAAAACGGCGTGCAGCTGAGCTCGTGTCTGTTTCGTGTGTGTGTGTGTTTTATGGGGGTATTGATTGGGGGAGTGGTGTTCAGGGGGGTTTATATTACGCCCCGCCCCCCTCCTGTGAATGATGAACTGAGCACCTGTAAAAATGAAACACCTGGACTATATCAAAGGTCCCCCCACCCCCCCACCCCCCCGCTCTGCAGTTTGTACAGCGCGAGTGATTCTCTGCTTTGACTTTTAGACGTGATGTAATTAAAGAGCTTTGACAGTTTTTCTGGCGTCCAACCAAAGACTCCATTATTCACACGATCAGCTGTTTCTTTATTTCTGGTTTTAACTTTAGAAACTGTTCACATCTGTTGGTACTCCGTACCTGACGCCTCATTGTAATTAATCTACGGCGGAGTGGAAGGTAAAAAAACAATCGAAGGATTTGAGATGAAAGTCGTAAAAAAAATGTCTTTGTCCGCTGCTTGCGCTCAACTCCTTCGTGCAAACGTGAGTGAAGGGGGGTTGGAGGTGTTTCTCTGGAGGAGAGCGGAGGCTTCACTATGGAGGAGGTGTGGCCTAACAGTAGTTTGTTTTTATTTCATGCTGGAGCTCAAGGGCGACACCTACTGGATCAAAAAGTCACATCCTTCCTCTAAAAAAATGAAATTACTTCTTAAATCGTTGCAGGCTCCAAGCAACAAGTGTGGATGTCGTTTGATCCAATCAGGCACATTTTTCCTTTATTAGACGTGAAAACTTGAAAACTCACATTCAAGATTTGTAATGATTCTGCCCCCCCCTAGTGGATGTGTGACAAACTAAAAATGTGAAAAGACAAAAAAATCTTTTATTTTCTTTACTAATAAAAAAGCTGTAAAGATTTTCTCAGAGATTAAACTCGATGATGCCTGTGACCTTTTCAGACACTCAAACTTACATAACGTCATAAAGTCAGCCTGATGTGTCTTTGTGAGGTGTTCGTCTTCAAAGAGTTCAGAGAGCTGACAGTGTGATGAAGTCTGCTCAGTGTCGCCTTTATCTTCTATTTAATATAAAAGTCGTACAGATGTTCAAACCTGAACTTCATGGCTGAACGCTCGCTCTCTGCTCCACAAACACTTCAGATCACAGCGAGCTGAATGTGTTAAATCATCGCTCACAGCGTTTACACTCCGTCACAACATCCAGTCTGCGAAAACTGATCCAGGACTTCATCGTCCAGCAGCTTCGGATCTCAGTGAAGATGTCAGTCTGTGACTGGCATCAAACTCGAGTACTCAGAGGGGATTTCTTTCTGTTGCACCTCAGGCCTTACAGCCTGTTTACCTGCTGCAGGCGTTACAGGCTGTTTACCTGCTGCAGACGTTACAGTCTGTTTACCTGCTGCAGGTAGAGGTGGAGGTCATGGTTAATCGAAGCTTGAACCAAAGGCAACTGGACGTGGTTAAGTACATTCAGAGGAGAGGTGAAATGTCTGAAGATCTTCGAGTCCAGTTGCCTGTAGATCAAACGTTGACATTCAGAAACTGAACATTATCAGCAAAGTGAAACCCTGAACTCCTGCGTTTAAACTCATGCATGACTCGTGGTTATGTGAAAATGAATGAATGTAGAACCTTTAACAGAGTTATTATAGGGTGTAGTTTTGGTATTTTTACTGCCATAGAGGGTCTAAAGTCTTCCTCCAGCCTGCAGATAAACAGACAGTAAAATCCTCCGCCTGTGTTTGTAAATGTTCCTCTCCATTAAACCAATAAAGCGGCAAGTAATGGAAGCAGAGCTCTGTCTATTCTCAGAGTTATGTGTCATTACATCCCACATGAAGCAGAGCAATCAGAGGAGGTCCGGCCGCAGCTGATGGGACCTGCTCAGGAGGAGGAGGAGGAGCGCTGTGATGAAGAACAGACGAGGGATTCCTCCTCTGCTTATAAACGGCTGCTGATGATCAGAAGCACTCACAGCAGACGAAGACAACGAAGAGTGATCGCAGAGCTGCAGGACAAACAGCTGGACTGAGACCTTCAGGTCAAATATTGGCAGGTACGTTTTCCTCGATCCACCTCTGATGACACTCTTTTTTTTGCTTCATGTTGCCAGCGTTGATTTTCTTTTCAATTTCACATGATCAGAAGTTTCTTTTTCTTTCGGGAAAGTCAAATCTCAACAACAATGTAATGTGACTTTGGATTTCATTACTGAAGTTTGGTGCCCTCTAGTGGTTGTTGAAAGAAACAAACAGCAATGATTCTATTTACAGGTCCAAACAGTAAGATGAATCGAAGTGATAAAGTGAGCTTACTATATGATCAGACATTAAGGAAACATGCTGTGTTGAAGTGCTGGCTTCTCTGACAACAATGCAGCAGCCAGTATGTCCTCCTTCTAACTTTAGATTCTGGTCCTGAATGCTCTGGTTTGCTCGCGGTTTTAATGTTCTTCAGTGTTAAGAATTTGGACTGCAGTACCTGTTTTAAACATTAGGGGTCAGAGTTACACACTGCTCCTTTAAAACTAAGGAAATTAAGATCATTTTTTAATCCCAGTTAGAAACATTTCTGGACTTTATTTATGATTTACTCTTATTGCATTGCAAAGATTTACATTTTATTTAATCTCTTATAACAGTTTTAATCTGTCTTTCAAAACTAACTGCACAAAAGGCAACTTTTTCAAGGCAAAGTGATTAACATGCACACACAACAATCATTTTAAATGGCTAAAAGAGGTGAAATATAAACTTTCTACACACTGATAACATGAATCTTTGGTTGCAAAAAAAAATTAATCACATCTTCAATGACGTCTTCTTTAATTGAAGGGAAGGAAACTTTATTAATAGTGTAAAGAAAAAGTGTTTTATATGCACAAAGGCAGCTCAGTGTGCTTTACACGAATATAAGTGGAGATAAAAATGTACATACACAAATAGAAATATTCAAATATAGACTTAAAAATAATTTTTATAATTTTCTTTTTAGGATTTCTTGCTTCAGGATTGTTCAGAATATAATGCTTCTTCCTGTAAAGTCACTTTTTATTAATTCTTAATAAAAACAACAACAATGTAGGATTTATTTATTATAGTTTGGTGCCCTCTTGTGGTCGTTGACAGGAACAAAACATTTTTAAAAGCTGATGTAACCAGGAACGTTTTCAGGGTTTCTGTTCCCCATGAACAGATCTTACATTGGGCCCCTCCGCCACTAATATTCTGACAAAGCTTTAGATCACTTCAATCCTCTTCTTCATCTTTAACACTAGGTCCACCAACATTCTAGACCCCCCTCCAAGCGCCGCAGCCGTCTGTCAGAAGGCATATGCAAATTTAATTGTTTGTGCTCAAAAGAAAACGAATGATGCATTTTTTTGATGAAGTTAAATACAGCTTACTTTTATCTACAAACCAAATAGGCTATCAGCATAAGGCATGATTGGTAACCTTTTAAATGTTGCATGTTAATTTACAATATCTGTCGGCTTTTTTAGTGCACAGTTTTTTACTGCTGCTCCCGTTGCTAAAACACATTCTACAATAATGAAACATACAGAACTTTTAGTCTATTATATTGCTTGCTATATTATGCTATGCATTTTAATAAAAACACTGCAAATAAAGAGATAAACACCGATGCTCCTCCTCCTCTCTGCAACTGGGTTTGTTTCCCCGACATAAAGGAAATGATTGAACAACACACGCACGGCAAAAACAACAACAACAAAAACACGGCTATCTATGGGCATGACAAACTATATAGCCTACAAAAATAACTGCAGAAATCCATAACAGATGCATTGAAGAACAAACAAACAGATGAACAAATGAATGATCGGCAACTTGGACAGCGCCGCGGCACGTAATGCACAAACCTGCTGCAAAAGTGCTCAACCATTACGGTGCACTTCCCACTCACAGGGTGCTTGCTTGTATCTATCTGTCTATGGTCTCTATCTATCTAATTGTATATCCTATCTATCTGACGCTCTTTGTTAAATTCCCGCGCATATATATGAAGTCTATAAATAGAAACAATAACTAAAAAAAATTAAAACGACGCGTGAAAACAATCCAGGGAAATATATCATTTTCAACTTCCGTCAATATGAAGGCGGCGGCGGTTAGGGGTATAAACGCTCAGAAATCTGTGTGTTTTATTTTAGTTACACATAGGCTTCAGAAAACATACAGGACACATATTTAAGAAACGTCATAGGATGAGAGGCTCGTAGTTTTTATTAAAGAAGAGTTATTTGTATTATAAAAACCCAAACCATCCGTCAGACAGTCTTGGCAGTTCTAGTGTTAATAAAGCTGGAAACTACGGACGAGGGTTAATGCCAGACATGAGAAATGAATAATGAGTGGTACAGTGGTTAGCTCTGCTGCCTCACTGTGAGGAGGTTCCTGGTTTGAATCCCCATCTGTGTGGAGTTCTCCCCGTGCATGTGTGGGTTCTTTCCGGGTTCTCCAGCTTCCTCCCACAGTCCAAAGACATGCTCGTTAGGTTAACTGCTGACTCTAAATTGCCTGTAGGTGTGAATGTGAGTGTGGTTGGTTGTCTAGCCCTAATCCACGTCCGTTAGACTCAGATTTCGGGAAATGTCACATTTTTGATTCAGATCTGTTGCCTACATTTCCCACAATGCAACACTCCTACCAACAGTTGTAGAAGACTTAAGCTAGCTATGCTTAAAGTGGCTAATATTGTGTGTGTGTGTGTGTGTGTGTGTGTGTGTGTGTGTGTGTGTGTGTTCAACAGGAAACATGGCGGGATCAACTGACCATCTGAACACCTCCATGTTGCTCCGCCCCTGTGTGAACGTCACCTGTCAGCCTCTGATCAGATCGTGTCCATACACCACAGCTCAGCTGACGATCATTGTCATAGTAACCGCTTCCCTCAGCATCGTCACCGTCCTCGGCAACACGCTAGTGATCCTGTCCATCAAGGTGAACCGTCGCTTGCGCACGGTCAACAACTACTTCCTGTTGAGCCTGGCGGTGGCCGACCTGATCGTGGGCCTGATGTCCATGAACCTGTACACGCTGTACTTGCTGCGGGGACACTGGCCCCTGGGGGCCGCCATGTGCGACCTGTGGCTGGTGGTAGACCACGTAGTGAGCAACGCATCTGTCATGAACCTGCTCATTATCAGTCTTGACCGCTACCTGTGCATGACACACCCCCTCAGCTACCCGGTGAGACGGACAGGCAAGATGGCAGGCATGATGATCGGCGTCGCTTGGCTACTGTCCCTTGTGCTCTGGGCCCCCGCCATCCTGTGCTGGCAAAAGTCTGGGGGGCACCGTGTGGTCCCTGACGGACTGTGTTACACCCAGCTCCTTGCCAGCCCCGCAGTCACCTTGGCGATAACACTTCCTTCATTCTACCTGCCAGCGTTCATCATGATCGGTCTGTACAGCCGCCTGTCTGTGGCCAGCCAGAGCCGACTGAGCGCACTCAGATCAGAGCGAGGCCCGCTCAGGAGGGCCAGTCCATCCTTTAAAGACTTCCTCCTGAAACGACGCAGCCTGGTGACCAGTGACCCCAACTCTGAAGTGTCTCTGAACCAATCAGAGTCCAGCACACCGAAGCACAGGAAGAACCAGAGAGCGTCCAGGAGTCCAACTGATCAGTCAGAGCCCGATGTGTCTCCACTTTCTCCGCCGTGTCACAGACACAAGAACGACTCGTCATCAATCATGGACCTCCACAGGTCGGCCTCGGTGGCATTCTCCGCCTGTCCCAGCTTCAGGTCTCAGGAGCGGCGGAGGCGGCGAGTCATGGCGAGGGAGAGGAGGGTCACCAAGACCATTCTGGCCATCCTGCTAGCCTTCATCCTTACCTGGACACCAAACAATGTCATGGCGATCATCGCCGCCTTCTGTCACTTCTGCATCCCAGAGTTCCTGTGGACAACCGGGTACTGGCTCTGCTATGTCAACAGCGCCATCAACCCCGCCTGCTACGCCCTGTGCAACGTCACCTTCAGGAAAACCTTCTGCAGCCTCCTGTGCTGCCGCAGCAGGAAGCTGCACTGATCACATGACCCTCAGAGCGTGCAAGGAGGATGGATCAGACCGGCTCAGACGAGGGAGCATGATTCTCTGTCTTTGTGGATTCCAATGATCACCTGACACCAGACGTCTTACCTCTAACACATTTATTTGAAACATTGTAATGACTTAACATTCAAGCTATGTTTGAACCAGACTGTATGAAACATGGACGTAGTCTCTGTGATGCCACCCTTTGGTTTCTGAGACGATATAAAACCCATCGATGGTGGTCGCCCTATTTGAAACTGACTTTCTGTCTTTTAACAGATTGATCTTAATTCTACAGGGAAATTAGGTAAAGAGGAGGAATTGAGACGGACCTAGAACCTCCTGGAAAACGGCTATAACACACAAACTTAGCCACGCACCCAATTATGCAAATGTGTAATCACCTGTTTAATAAGGCTTAAAGGTGAGTTTTATAAACATTCAGCCCATACAGTCGTCATGAAGAGAGAAATGAGCTCTAAAGACCAAAACCGTTTTTGTACCTGGCTGTGAAGTTGGACATTTTAACATGTGGCTCTATGGGGACTCCACTTTCTACAATTGTAGGATTGTAGAATTGTAGAATTGTAGAATGGGGACTGACTCACTGCAGGAGACAGACTCTAGTGGACTCTGGAGGAACTGCAGCTGTAAAGTTGTACATTTTAACATGGGGCTCTATGGGGACTGTCTCACTGCAGGAGACAGCCTCTAGTGGACACTGGACGAACTGCAGCTGTAAAGTTGGGCACTTTAACATGTGGCTCTATGGGGACTGACTCACTGCAGGAGACAGCCTCTAGTGGACACTGGAGAAACTGCAGTTTTTTTTTAACTCTAATGTATTGGCTTTACTTTCCAACACTGGAAGTTGCTGCTTGGTTTCAACACAACAGAATATCTCTTAGCTGTTAGCGTTAACAGCCACCTGGGAGTGAAGGCATATTCATTAGAGCTCTCCCTTCTGACTATGTTAACAGATGGGACATGAGTCAAACCATGAACTTAAAAGAAACGTTGCTTAAATCTATTTCAACCCTGGATTATGTCGTGATGGTTAGTTAATATCATGCTGATTTATGTCCAAGTGAAGTTTTGTTTCCATCCATTTTTTATAGAAAATCAAACAAATGTGACATCATGATTGACAGCTCTCTTAACAAATCTCCTTGCTTCTTTCTCAACCAAGTTGACCAGGAACATCGAGAGAAAACGTTACGAAAACTAACAATAAAGTTATTCAAACTTTCCTTAATTGTAAGCAATCTGCTTCAAACTGACACAAGAAGTGTAATTTGTGTTGTGGTTAGCTTGTGCTTGTCTTGGCTCCAGATAACATCACCAGCTTAGAAAAAGAAAAGAATTTCATGTGTTATGTAAAAAATATCTGCCAATGCAGCAAAGAAGTTTAACTTAAAGGATCACTCTGTAAGATATGTAGTGAATGAAATGATGAAACGACCTGACTATATTATCAGACACCAGGGCGAGGGGAGACAGCTCTCTCCAATGTTTAGACTGGACTGCAGTACCCATTTTAAACACTAGGTGTCAGAGTTACATACTGCTCCTTTAAGTGTCTCGAGCGGAAGAGCGGAATGATCTAAATTAATTTACAGACACTGAAGTTAAATGTTATCGCTGTATTGGCAGATATTTTTTAATTACTACAAGCAACTCAGGTCTTATGTTTTAGCTTTTTTGTATCTTAATAAGATGTTTATCTGGACAGGTTTATGCTGCTCATGATACGTGTAATTGTAATGATGTAATGTAAGTGTAATGATAAAGTATTTTTGACCTAAAATCAGACAAATACACTTATTAAGATTTGAGTATTTGCAGTGATATTCAGCATTCGTGCTGAAACCACCAGCACTCAGACTCGTGCCTACAAAAAGAACACACACACACACACACACACACACACGCACACACAGTCTTCACCAAAACAATGTACAATATTTAATTTGTTCATTTGTACAAGAGTCATCCTGTAAAGTCAATAATCTACGCTTCAAAAAATAGATTTCATAGAGGATTTTTTTCTTTTTCCATGCTGGTTAATTTATTTTACATTTTTTTTAAGGTGATTCTAAACTCTCCGATCGTCTGGACGGGACTACAAAGAGAGCGCTCATATCTGAACGTTAATTTAACTCAAACTACGCTCAAAACCTTTCGAACTATCTCCACATTTATGTTAAAAAAACTAGGAGCTAAACAAGGATCATTATTATTGAATCATTATCTAACGGGAGGACGCTGGAGAAGCTGCCCACACTTTAACTCCAATAAAACACAAGAACAGGAAATCATCACAATTGGAAAAAGAAGGCAGATGCCATGAATCAAAAATGGTTGGTGTGCTTCAGAGGAGTCTCTCGGTTTTTTATTTTTTAAGAAGAAGAAGAAGATTTTTCAGCTGGAGGAGTAGGGAGGAAATCCTGCCGTCTTCTGAGCCCTTTCTTCATTCTTCAGTTTGACCTCTTGTCTCCTGGAGGACGAAGAGAAATATAGAGTTATATAGTTATGAGATCATTAGATTCAGACATCATCAGTCGATCACAGAAAGTCAAACCTCTAATTAAAGACTCGTACTGAAGGTTTATTTATGAGCAGGAGGTTCTGCAGGATTTATCTGGTCCCCATGAACAGATCTCACATTTGGCACATCCCCCACAGCCTGAGATATTACTATAACACACCTCCATTACTCCAATGGGCCATTCAACGATTTACATTAAAATATCAATCTGTAAGATAAGTAGTGAATGAAATGATCAATGGAAGGCTGCAGCTTCGAAGAGAAGCTAAAAGATGATTTTTCTTTCTGATTTCTTAATTATTCAACTTCAGATACGCTGAGCAGGGGCGTGTGCAGAGCGGTGGCCAGGGGTGGCATGGGTCCCCCTTGAAATCTGATTGCCCCCCCAGGTGCTACCCCAAAAGCTAAATCTACAATTGGCTATTTGCCTGATCAGTGGTGGGACTTAATTAAAAATCAGCTATTCTGGCTAATGATATGACTTTAAGTTGTAACTAAATACTTCACTCCTTCAATAAAAATTCCTGAAGAACAAGTCGTCTACACGGTCTAATGAGAAATGGACTTAAGTGCCATTAACTGTATTTTTGCAGTTTAGACAGCATACAAAAGTTTTCATGCAACGTTTTCAAGTACTTTAAATTCTGACTTTGCACTTTGAGCCCCTAAAAAATTAAAGATGTATATGTTCCCAAATTGTGTTACTTACAGTCCAGATCATTGTGGGGATAGAAAGGGTTAAACATTTTTATTCATTTGCATGCATGTGCCCACTAACCTCTGCATTAGTCAGAACTTCAGGTGGGCCACCCCAGTTAAGAAAGTCTGGACATGCCCCTGACACTGAGGTCATGAACATATGATGAATCATTACATTTATTGAGTTAAATTTAAAATATGTTTAAACGTCTAAATTCAAGAGAATCTGCTGAGATCTTCTTTTATCTGAGTGTCGTTTGATTTGCGCAAACATGTTTTGTAAAAGTTTAATGAGTAATTTAACTTCATTTAACAGAATCAGAAATATTTGATTAATCACAGCGGGAGCTCGTAACTCCCAAACTCCACCTCAGGATTCATACAGAGGTTTCAAGTTCTTTCAGGTCTCACCTCTGGTCGGCTTGACTTTAGGGGAGCAGGGTTTGGACACCTTGACCGTGGTCTGACACTCAGCGTTGAACAGCGCCCTCTTCAGCGTTCCAGACCGGCTCTTGGTGTTGCTGGTGGCGTCACAGGATCCCCACGGGCCAAACTTGTACTTACAGTCATCTGAGGGAGAAATGCAGCAGTTACCTTTGATGCTGCTAATGTGGAGACAATGAAAACATTTGACATCTGGAGGTCTCTGAACGTGCAGGTCACTGTGAGAGAGTTTGACAAGTTCTTTTAAATCCTCAATCTGTGACTTGCTGTAAGAATTTCTTTCTCCCTGAAACATGTTTTACTGAGACTACCCACACAAACAGCTGCAAAAGATCATCACAACCACAGAATGTAAATATTATTGGTCCCCCGTATGTTCCTGCAGGGGGCGCTGGAGTCCCATCGATGGCGGTCTCCATACTGGAAATGCTGTCTCAGCCTAACTTTCAGTCAACCTAAGGACAGGCTGAGAGTTGGAGCTGAGGCGGGTTTTAGGACTCCTGACAAACCGTTACACCGCGCCCGCCTGTCAATCAGGTCAGCTACACGCCTTATTGTGAATAACTCTTATCCTTCATCAAATCAAAACTGATGAGTCATCAAAACATTCACCCCCCGTACAGTGTGTGCCAATTGAGACATGGGCTAATCAGACCTATTTGGTTTTTTGAACCAGGCTGTAAACATGTTAATCTCTGCTGTAAAAACAGGCTTTTTAGAATGGGTGTGTATGTGACTTCCTGTGCTTCTGCAGCCACCCTATAGTGGACACTCAAGGAACTGCAGGATTTTACACTTCACTGGAGGTTGCTGTTTAATCACTGCCCATATAAATGTGTATAGTCAATCTGCTGATGCTTTATTGCAGTTTGTGTTGCAGTCTTACTGATGTCCTTCTTCCAGTTGCAGGGGATCTTGCAGTGGATCTTGTCAGTGCTGTCTTTGCAGGTGGCCTCTCTCAGACCCTCTCCACAGTCCCCCTGTTCTGGGACACATTTCCCGAACTGAGTCTCTGCAGGAGAGCACTCTGAGATGGGCCGGGTTTTATCGTGTTTACCACCTGAAGAGAAGAGACGACACAAAATATAAACCAGTCAAGTCTGCAATGAGTAAACACACAGAATGATTTTTTGTGCAGAATTTAACCTTTAAATGTGAAGAAGAACTCCTAAAATCAGCTTTACAGGCACAAGAACAATACTCTGATTTCAAAATAAAAGTTTAAAAGTTCTCGTCTGAATCTGTTAATATTTTACATGTACATATATTCTTATTTGTCTGCGGTTTGACAGCAGATTCATTCTGGATTCTTATGTGCTCTAACCGTGTTGTGATGTCATGACTCCTCCTTTTTTGTCAACGTGTTAAACTGAGATTAAAGGTTGTTTTAAAGAAAGAAAGTTTCTGTATTTGAAGGTTTATTGGGAAGTCACAGCCAAACCTCTCAGGAGGTAAAAACAGCTTTAAAGTGGTATGAAAGTGGCCAATTACAAGCTTCCATTCACTGTCCCCAGTGAAGTTGTTTAAACGTCAAAGATAAAAGATGATAAATGTGTGACTTATTTGCATCCAAACTGGAAGAACTGGATGCCCTGATTGTTAAAATTGATCGTCAGGTCGGAGCTTCACTCCGAACATCACGTAACTCAGTAAGTGAGGCAGGATTGTTCAGTGACATTAACTGGGGCATTTTTAAAATTCTTCATATTTCTGAAGAACATCAGTTTGTCTTGTCAAGCTCAAAATACTTTGTTTAAGTGTTCAGAACATCTTTAAACTTTATGTAACATTCCTGCTGTATGGTGGCCCTGAAGGTCTACTGCAAAGACATTTCACAGAGTGCGAAAACCATTAAGAGGTACAGTATTACAAGATTCCATGAGATGTTTCAAAAAGCAAAGAAATACAAAACAAAAAGAGAAAAACAAGACGAAAAGCACATTTCAGTACTGTATTGTTTTAAACTACTACCAAACATTTTGAAAACCTTCCCCTTAGAATACAAACACATTGGGCGAAAAATCAGAGTAAGGTTTCACCTGCTTTTTCTAAAGTGTCTTGAGATAACAAATGTTATGAATTGGCACTAGACAAATCAAGATTGATTGATTGAACATCGGGTCAGTTGTCTCTCAGTTTTTGGCAGTTTTTCAGTACAAATGATGTTAAATGTACCGCCAGTGAACTGATGGGAGTTAACTGATGTGTCAGAAATAAATAAAGATGAATTTGTTCTGGTTTGAAAGTCTCACCTTTGTGACCTTTGGGTCGCTTGTGGGCCTCGGTGGAGAGCGTCAGGGCCAGGAGCAGCAGCAGCGTCATTGAGAACAAACCTCGCATTCTGCAGAGACAAAAACATGGAGGTCTTTACTGGGATACATTAAAGGATGATCCTGATTCATCCAGGTCTAAAGTAAAACCAATGAGTAGGATGTTAACACCCAGCAGCCACCAGGGGCAGCATAGAGGAAATAATTACTCAGTCCCCTGACATGGAGAGGGGGTCAAAGTTCAAATGTTTATTTTGTTTTCAACTACTTTATTAGGATTAAACATTTACAAAACATATCAACATGGCTGACAGTCTGACATCACAGGTTCCAAAAGAGAAACACCAAAGAACAACAAGCAAACCTTGAACGAGAATGAGACACGAGTAACAATCACAAAGAGAAACCAAAGGGTGACAAAGACAAACAAAAGGACTTCAAATTAACACGCAAACGACCACAAAGAGCAACTGAACTAGAAAGAGAGATAAGAACTTCAACAAGACGTACAATGACCACAACCAGACGAAACATCCACAAAGATACAACAAACCAGTACGAGACAATGCAAACAGCCAGATAAAGACCTTAAATGTCAGTATAGACACAAATATTAAAGCAGGAAATTAAACATGACAAAGAAACAACAAACAATCTTTCAAATAAATTCAAAACCACAACCATGAAATGTAAACAGCCACAACGAAAAACAACCAAGGAACACGAAAGGACGGCAAAGCAGACAAAATGACCAGAGACAGAGTAAGAACAAACGTAGACTTTTAAAAACAATTCACACAGCAGCCTCTACCGTCAGTGTGTGAATGTGTAGGTGTGACCTGCGGTGTCAAAGTGCTTGGAGGAGTCAGAAGATTAGAAAAGAAATAAACAAGCTCAAGTCCATTTACCAAAGAACTACCAAGAATCATTAACAACTACAAAGAAACATAAAACAACAACAAGCTAAGTAAGTACACTTTCAATGAGAGACTATGAAGATAAATCCAAAATCTAATTAGAGAATGCAAAACACCTGCAAAAAGTGAAAAAATTATCTACATAAAACAACAACAAAGAGGTTCAAAAGAACAAAAGAGATGAGCACTTTCACTACAAACTGCCAAGAATCCAAGGAAACTACAAAAAGAAACAGATAATAACAAAGTGCAATACAATGACAGAAAGACAACTAATAGCTACAATAACATGATGAAGCGGCATACATTGGAGCAAGCCACCTCGCCCGGAAGAGGGAAACCGGGGAACCCCAATGGAGCCAGACCTAGGGGGGAGCTCGAAGGCGAGAGTCTGGTGGACGGGATTTCCTCCATGGGGCCCGATCGGGCTCATCCCGAAACAACCACATGGAGCCGCTGCCCTGTAGGCCCACCACCCGCAGGGAGAGGCATGGGGGTAGGGTGCATGCAGAGCCGGGTGGCAGGCGTAGGCTGAGGCCTGGGCATTCTGATTCCTGGCAGCGCAGACTGGCTCTAGGGACGTGGAACGTCACCTCTGGCGGGGAAGGAGCCGGAGCTGGTGCGGGAGGTGGAGCGCTACCAGCTAGACATAGTTGGCCTCGCCTCTACGCACAGCGTCAGTTCTGGAACCAAACTCCTGGAGAGGGGCTGGACTCTCTCTTTTTCTGGATTTGCCCAGGGTGAGAGGAGCCGGGCGGGTGGGGGGATACTCACAAGCCCCCGGCTGAGCGCCGCTGTGTTGAAGTTTTCCCTGGTGAACGAGAGGGTCATCTCTCTGCGACTTCAGGTTGCATTTATGCCTCTCTGCGACTTCAGGTTGGCTCTGACTGTTTTATGTTCATATGCACCTAACAGCTCAGAGTACACGGCCTTCTTGGAGTCTCTAGGTGGGGTCCTAGAAGGGGCTCCGCCTAGGGACTCTGTAGTTCTACTGGGGGACTTCAACGCTCATGTGGGGACACCTGGAGGAAGAACTTCTCCCTCATCCCGGGGGAGGTTGGGGACATGGAGTCCGAGTGGTCCATGTTCAAAGCCTCCATTGTAGAAGCTGCGGAGTTGCGGCCAGAAGACCGCCAGTGCCTGTTGTGGCGGCAACCTTAGAACCCGCTGGTGGACACCAGTGGTGAAGGAAGCCGTCAGGCTGAAGAAGGAGGCCTTTCAGGCTTGGTTAGCCCAGGGGTCTCTGGAAGCAGCTGACAGGTATCGGGTGGCTCGGAGGGCTGTGGCTTCAGTGGTTGCGGAAGCAAAAACCTGGGTGTGGGAGGTGTTCGGGGAGGCTTTGGAGAAGGACTTTCAGTTGGCCTCAAGGAGGTTCTGGCAAACCGTCCGACGGCTCAGGAAGGGAAAGCAGGGCTTGCCCCAGGTTTTATCAGTAGGGGTGGAGAACTGCTGACCCGAACTGGGGACATTGTTGGGCGGTGGAAGAAATAATTTGAGGAACTCCTGAACCCAGACAACACGTCCTCTGAAGAGGAGGCAGAGTCTGAAGACCCAGGGGAAGCCTTTTCCACTAACCTTGGCAGAGGTCACTGAGGTAGTTAGAAAGCTCCTCAGTGGCAAGGCGCCAGGTGTGGATGAGATTCGCCCTGAGATGCTAAAGGCTCTGAACATTGTTGGGCTGTCTTGGCTGACACGCCTTTTCAATGTCGCGTGGAAATCTGGGACAGTGCATGTGGAGTGGCAGACCAGTGTGGTGGTTCCCATTTTCAAAAAGGGGGACCGGAGGGTGTGCTCCAATTATCGGGGTATTACACTTCACAGCCTTCCGGGGAAAGCTTACTCTAGGGTGCTGGAAAGGAGGCTCTGGCCGATTGTCGAACCTCGGATACAGGATGAACAATGTGGATTCCATCCCGGACGTGGGACAGTGGACCAGCTCTTTACCCTCGCAGGGCTTCTTGGGGGAGTATGGGAGTTTGCTCCACCAGTCTACATGTGTTTTGTGGATTTGGAGAAGGCTTTTGACCGTGTCCCTCGGGGGATCATGTGGTGGGTACTGCAGGAATATAGGGCCCCGGGGCCGTTGGTATGAGCCATCCGGTCCCTGTATGACCAAAGTGGAAGCTGTATTCCCAGTGCGTGTTGGCACGTTCCCAGTTTGTGATCTTCATGGACAGGATCTCAAGGAGCAGCCGAGGGGAGGGGGGTTTCAAGTTTGGGGACCTCAAAATCTCATCTCTGCTTTTTGCAGATGACGTGGTTTTGTTGGCTTCCTCAAGCTGGGACCTCCAGCAGGCATTGGGGCGGTTTGCAGCCAAGTGCGAAGCGGCTGGGATCAGGGTTAGCACCTCCAAGTCCGAGGCCATGGTTCTCTGCCGGAAAAAGGTGGATTGCTCTCTCCGGGTGGGGAGTGAGTCCTTGCCCCAAGTGGAGGAGTTCAAGTGTCTTGGGTATCAAGTGTCTTGTTCACGAGTGAGGGTAGGATGGAGCGTGAGATTGACGCAGTAATGCAGACGTTGTGCCGGACCGTTGTGGCGAAGAGGGAGCTCTCGATTTACCAGTCGACCTTCGCTCTAACCCTCACCTATGGTCATGAGCTATGGGTAGTGACAGAAAGAATCAGATCGCGGATGCAAGCAGCCGAAATGAGCTTCCCCTGGAGGTTGGCTGGGCTCAGCCTTAGAGATAGGGTGAGGAGTTCGGACATTCGTGGGGGAGCTCGGAGTAGAGCCGCTGCTCCTCCGCATTGAAAGGAGGCAGTTGAGGTGGTTTGGGCATCTGTTAAGGATGCCTCCTGGACGCCTCCCTTTAGAGGTTTTCCAGGCACGACCAACTGGGAGGAGACCCCGGGGCAGACCCAGAATGCGCTGGAGGGATTATATAGCCCGTCTAGCCTGGGAACGCCTCGGAATCCCCCAGGAGGAGCTGGAAATCGTTGCTGGGGAGAGGGAAGTCTGGGTTGACTTACTGCGCCTGCTACCACCCCGACCCGACCTCGGATAAGCAGAAGAAAATGGATGGATGGATGGATGTGCAATACAACTACGTAGGGACAAAAAACAACTAATAAGAACCAAAAGAACGACAAAGAAAACTGAGAAAACTACAAACAACTACAAAGATATCCAAGGCATAAGAAAGTACAACGAGATGCAAAACAACTTCAGGAACACAAAATAGATTTTTTTTTTTTAAGATATCTTTTTTTTAAAGATATCTATGAGGTCGTTCTCTGATTTGTAGAGGGGGGAGGGAATTTTATCAGCATTACAAAAAACAAAGATATCAAAAACAAGAAAGAGACAGCTCAACATGAAACTTCAACAAAACAAACGCAAAGAATGCAAGACACAAAATAACTACAAAGAAACAAAAAACTATGAAGTTATTCCAATAACTACAAATAGTAGACCAAAGGGATAAAATACAATATCTAACACTTTTAATCTGTGGTCGTACTTCCATGTGTATCGAAGGACATTGTTTCCTAATCCAGCTCTGACTAACATCCGATCCACCAGAACACTTTAGGCCCAGAAAAAAACTTTCTTTACATCTTTAGATTCAGATTTAGAAATCTGCCCGGATTAATAAATAACATATATGATGTGTTCTTTCATCCTAATCTCATCATGTTATGCTGCAGATGTCATGATCTGGATGTTGAACTATAGCGTGATCCAGCCCGGTTTGTCCTGTCTGCTGGGGCCAGATGGTCCAAATTTAGTCCAAATCAAATCTGCTCTCTTTTCAGCCCCTTAAGCCAAATAATCTGACTATTGTACCCACAGAAGCATCAGGATTATAAAAGTAGGCTAATGTATGCAGATATTGTTCCTGTTCTCACACATATTCTGTTCTATTTTTTGTTTTGTACATTTTGAATTATGTCTCCTTTTTCTTGTTTGTTGAAATCTTCTGTTGGTGTTGAGCATCACACGGGTGCAGCATCAGCTCAGAAGAAAAATGTAGCACGGACTCTTGGCTGTGCTTTGAAAATAAAAGAGAGTCAATTACCCATAAAGCCCCTCTCTGGCTCTCTGTTGTTATTGTGCTGAGAAATGACAGACTCCTCTTTCAGGCCTCCATTAAAGCAAAGGAGCTCTTTCACATGTCAGCTGGCAGAGCAAATCCTGCTCTTCTCGCTCCTCCTGCGGCCTTTTATGAGGAAAGAACCGGCTCTCAGCAGGCCTCCAGTCTGTCCTCCATCAATGAAGAAGAGAAGGAGGAGAAGGGGGGAGGAGGAGGACGGGAGGAGTGGGGGGGGGAGGCCAAGCAGCATCTGAAAGAGCTCTTTAGATTTCCCCTCAAAAGAATACTGATTCATTGAGCCAAAACAAAGCCTCTTCTAGCCTGGTTTCATTTCTCTAAAGCCTATAACACAGATTCCATGCCACGTCTTAGGCGCTCCCTCATACCATCCCCCGCCCTGAATAGAAACCTATTTGCATAAGAAAACAATGAGATCTCAGCATGAAGAAAAGGAATGGGATGCTCCCTTTGGTTCAAAACTAGGAACAACATTTAGAGGAACTTCCTCCTGAATCTTAAAGTTCACTGTCGCATCCGGTGACATGAAACAAAGTTTAATCATATGGATCTCGATTATGACTTTTTACACAAAGTTGTGCAGGAGTAAACATCGAAAGGCACAGAAGATGAGGTTTGTTTGCTGTGAGGACGAAAAGAAGCGGAACTGTACATCATGAAGGAAAACATCTTCAAGAAGACGAATTCAAAACAAGATTTTTCTGATGTAAGAAACTGAACTTTTGCTGCTGCTTTAATTTAAGTTATGGGGAAATGTATTGATGGAAATCAGGTTTGAAGTTTTTAAAGCAGCTTTGTTTTTTAAATGTAAAGGTTTGCAGAAAATAATATGAACGTAAAGCAGAGCCACAAGCCAAAACATCTGCACATCGAAATATTAATCTACTAAAGTTATATTTATTGACCACAATGTTGAAAACATTCAATTTTAAATTATAAACAACGAAATAAACAAACACTATCTCTTCGTTCTAACTGATGGTAACAAATATACACGACTTTTGAGGCAATCGGTTAAAAACAAAATACATAAAGAAATGAAATTCAGACAAAATGAGGCAAAGAACTCGACAAAGAACATCTCATTCATCAGCAGCTTTAACATCACGAGTAGATATTCTAAAGATAAAACTGAAATTAAACTATGCTAAATCCAAATGTTTATATTCAAAGTGCTACAATGATAATATAGGAATCTGAAAATGTAATTTCTTTATTATAAATTATAACAGAAGTAAAATAAAAGTGAAGTTTGAACATTTTGAATTGACTGATATTCTAGCAATTTACTATTTCAAAATAAAAGTCTTTCTTTTCCTATTTTTAAACTGACTTTGTGAATTGCATCAACACATCCAATTCTGTGTTGATTATTTTATCATGTCATATAAATAAAAACATTTGAGTATCTAAATCTCTTTTGAAAAGTTACTTCAATTAATAATCATTTATTTTAAAAGTTGCAGATTAAGTTTTCTGCTGATGAAAATGATGAAACAGCTAGTGGTGTCAGCTCTAAGATCTTTAAATTGTGTCTTTTGAAACCTCTAATTATCACAACAATCGTGCACAGCTTTTTAAAAATGTGTGTGAAAGGGAAGAAAATATAAGAACTTACTTGCCGGGCTCAGAGGAGCATCCAGTTGAGCTTTGGAGTTGTTGTCTTCTGATGGTGCCTTTAACTGCTCCTGCTGCAACATCCTACCCTCACACACTTGAACACACCCCCCCCCCCCCTCTCAATCTCTCACTCTCCCTCTCTCTTTCTCTCTCTCTCTCTCTTTTCTCACTCTCTTGCACAAAACCTGCCAAACATATCAACAAGTTGCCCTAACCTTGAAGCTGTAATTACTGCAAGCCCTGTGATTGGCCTGCTGGGTAATAACCCTAAAATGTCCCTGTAAACCTTTGTTGCACCCCACAATTTGATTTTGTGAACAGGCTTAAGTCCCAACAATATCAGTTCAACATGTACTCAAACACACACAATCAATACTACACAAACTCACAAACACTAACCCTAACTAATATTTCACTGTTAAACTTCACAATTTGTAGTATAGGGACTTTTATTTGTCTCCATAATGCCGGTCCCCATAATGTCAGTGTGTAAGCAGGCTGAGGTCCCCAAAACACAGGTTAAACATGCACACACATTCATAGTAATGTGAATATGTAAACAGCATATGGACAATGCTGAAAAAACAGCCTCATGGTAACATCACAACCTTTAATCCATACCCCGAGGGACAAAACAAGCTAAGCCCATTAGCACGTAGTGAAGTGTGTGTGTGTGTGTGTGTGTGTGTGTGTGTGTGTGTATGAGCGGGGGTGGGGGGCATATTTTACTTTAGATAATAAATCATGTAAAGGAGTGTGTTTTATATCATTGATAAGTTAAGAAGTTTAGGTATGAGCTCATTTTTACTCAAACAGTGGCTGAGGCAATGCAAGCTGCTTGTTGTTTAGAGTTCAGGTGGAATCACAGTGAGCAGGTGTGAGATGAAGAACAACTTGCTAAACTTGGAAATGTTCAAGGTCGTCAGAAATTCCTGGTGTTCACCTCTCCACTGAAACGCTGCTGTGTGCATTATATGATCAATAATAAATAAATATTTATCTGGAAACTGACTCTGATTTATTTTGGTCACACAGGAATAAATGTCTAACCTTTGCTTATTTTTAGATACTCTTTTTTTTGTAGAACTTCCAGCTCATTTGTAATGAAAAATACCAAATCATCTGCAAAGAAGCGAAGCAGAGAAGTACTTAGCTCTTTCTTGTAATAGCGGGTGTAAAATCTCAGTTTTAGTTCATGTAGTTCTGCTCAGTTAACCAGAAGTTTGTTCTCCTCTTTAAGTTCTCCTCTTGGAGGCTAACAGGCAGCAGAACAGCTGCAGAGGAGATTCTCTCGGTACTCTGATGGCTCAGTCATGCATGGAAGCCTTTGTTAAAGTCTGCAGCTGGGAGCAGTGTGTGTGTGTGTGTGTGTGTGTGTGTGTGTGTGTGTGTGTGTGTGTGTGTGTGTGTGTGTGTGTGTGTGTGTGTGTGTGTGTGTGTGTGTGTGTGAGAGAGAGAGCGTGTGTGTCCCCTGTCCCACCAGCACGTGTTTTTGTTGTTGTCAGTTCTCATCTTTGCAGTCTTTTGAACTCTGTAACTGTATACAATGTAGACATCATGACTCTGGATTGCCAGTTTCAGACACCGTTACCTTTTGTTGCGTTTTGCCCCGTTCGACTACACAACAACAGCGTATTGGGTGTTGCAAAGTTTTGAAAATGGGTTCCAGAGTGCAGACCTTTTAAAAACGGCACGTTTCCGTTGTTTATGTCAACTTGCAATGTGCAGTTCCTCTGTGGATTACAGTTCCAGTCAACAGCCCCAACAGCGAGCAGGTGGACTACAACAACAACAATGGCCAACTCCCGAGTTCTGTTTGTGCTGCAACACTTAACAGCGCTTCTCCAGCAACATGTAGATTTACTGCCTCACAGTAACAACCCCACCTCATCGCCCATCCACACAAAATGTTGTAAACATTTTGTATGTTCACACCTCACCTCACCGCTCCGCTCCGTAGAAGGAAGTGTGTGTGTGCATGTGTTGAGTCACACCGCCAACTACTGGCCTGGCATGTATATTACGGCATATACATTTTTTTGTGAATCAGTCTTATATAATTTATTAAAGGAAGAATAATGTGAGAAAGTTATGTTTTCAAATCAAATCCTAAATAGTTAAAATTGCACTGATCCGACTGTAATTAAGGGTGCACTCACACCAGGCCCAGGTACCTCATATTAGCAGACGCACGATCGCCTCTTAAAAGTTGGCTGCGTCTTATACACCAGTGTAACTAATATACCAGTATAAAAAGCTGATACATGCGCCGTCATTACCGCGGGTGCAGCAGCCACTATCACCTCAACCTGATGTGATTAAAAACCCATCCCCATTCATTGTGTACTGAAAGCTCATTGCACGCCGTGCTGGGAAAGACGGCGACACAGACGAGTCTGACAGCACTACTTTTTCACGTCTTTTCTCCCTCACGAGGTCATAATCACGCATTTACAGAAAATGGTGGGAAGTCGGGCAGCTCGACTCGCAAGCTAGGAGTTTGTGCCTCACAACTTTCCCTGCAGGCTGAGAGCTCGACGACCGTCCTGTAGCTAGTAGGAGAGCAAACTCCATAATGTGAAAACAGACAGAACTGCACAGAAACTGCACGCTGTAGACTTCGCTGAACACGATAGAAATTGTCACGCAGGAAAACAGTTTAAAACTTATTTTCTCTCTGAGAGATACCGGTGCGACTTATATTCTGGATTTTACAGTATTTTAAAATTGTCCCAGAATGTAATGAATATGTAAAAGATTAACCAATTATGAAACCAGCTGCTGGTCAAACATTTCCTCTCAGGAATAATTTCATCATCCTTCCAGGAAGCTGTAACTGACATGCTTTATTGCAGGTCACTCGGAAATGATCAAACCAGACAAAAAGAGTTATTACTCTGATATCAGACAGTACAATGCCACTCTGAAGGCTATGTTATTATAATTAATACAGACTAGGCCGCTTTGGCAGAATCAGGCTTCAGCTTGTGTCCAACACATCTCAGCTATTTATACAGTCGATACACATCACAAGGAAAGCATCCTGCTGACAGCGTTTAAGTTATGTAACAGACAAAAACATTACAAAAAATTGTCATATATTGACTGAAATATCTAAAATTCAGACTGATGCAGAGGACAACTCGCTTCTCTGTTTAATCACAAGTGAAACTTGTTTTTATCTCTACAAATAATTCATAAATAGATAAATTCATGTGTCTTAGTTAAATATCCAAAGTCTGAACAAACACTTATTTCTGCTGAGTAAACAAATACATCCAAAAGGTCACTATAAGCTCGTAAGAAGACACGTTTTTGCAGCCGCTCTATCTGATATGGCAGAAGCTTCTAGTTCCATGGTGTTCAGCTGCAGACGCATGAATACAGTCCCTGTTTGCTCAAAGCTGCTGTTGTTTCACTCCAGCAGCACTTTGTGTTCACACGTCTTTGTCATGAACACAGAGGTCAGGGCGCTGATGTCCAGTCGATAAAGACACATTCAAAAAGCAGTTTGAAGGAGATCTGAGAGTCTCTGTGGCCTGAAGAGAAGTTTGAATCACGTTAGTGTCCAGAGGGTTTTATGTTCTTTAGTTTGGACTCCAGCAGAGGACTGAGGCTTTAAAAGAAAAAAAAAAAAGACCACAAACTAGACTTCGTCCACAGCATGACAAGCGTCATCTCCGGTCGAAGAAAGCAGCTTGGGGATTAAAGTGAAAATAATCCAGAGTTTGAGGATCGATGGTTTTGGTTCCCGTGCTTCTGATCCGGGGTTCAGCTAGAGGCTTTAAGATCAGAGTCATCCAGCGCACATCAGGAATGTTCAGATTGACTTCAAAGTTTGAATGCATATAAAACATAGAACAACACGTCTCGCATGGTTGCTTCTTCAGGTCGTCTTCACTTGAACAATGAGAAAAACTTTAAAGTCAATCTGAACGATCCTGATGTGTGCTGGATTACTCGTGTTAGTGTATCTACCTTCATCGTGGAAGAATCCCTATCTGATGGAGATCAAAGCAAACTTGTGAGGGGAACAGATGTCGCTGAAATGAAAGCCAGAGACAGACAGAAGGTGTGGACGGACAGGGGGGACTCTAGACCGCCGTCTCCTGGTCTTCTCTCTGGATCATCTGGTAATGTTGGCGGTTCTCCAGATATTCAGACAGTTCCTGGTCATCGGCCTTCTCGGCACACTGTTTGGGAGTTTCACCCTGTAAGAGACGTCGAGTCAAACAGAGTTAAAGATGGAGATTGTTGTATGAAGATTGTGAGTGTTTTATTAGGATCCCATTGATCTTCATTTTAGGACCGACAAACGATTATTATTTTAGAATCGTGATGAAACATAGAGTTTCAATAGTTAACCTTGCTTAGTTAACATTTTTAGAAATTCCTTTATTTTGCATTTTGAAACGTTTTTGTTGTGTTTTTTTTTTATTTTTGTTCTGTCTCACGCTTAGTGTGCTTTACTTCCTGTTTGGATACATACATGCTTTTATTTTGAAATAAAATGTTGATGTTCAGGTAGATCAATGGGAACATTTAATTGAAGGTACAAGGTACTAAAATATTTCAATTCATTTGACTAAAACTGTTGATGGATGGGCAAAAAATGGTTAGTACATAGTTGGATGGAGGGTTGGATGGGTAGATTATAGAAAGTTAAATTGATAAACAGAGGAGGATGAATCCTCTCAGGTCGTCTCTAACCCTGCAGTGGATCTCGGCTCCTCACCAACTCTGACTAACACACACACACACACACACACACACACACACACACACACACACTTACTGACTAACACATGAACTCTTTTCATTGGCTGCTGAGGAGAAGAGAAAACTCAGATTATGGGCTGCTTCCTGTTACCACTGGCTTCACCATGACGACGGTGAGCGGTGGCCTTTGTGTGCGTTGTAGGAAGGCCGGGGATCCTGCAGCGCTCGGTTTCTCAATGACACACAACATTAATCACTTTATAGAAGTGGGTCAAATACTGCTGCGGATCCATTTAAAGAGTGTGTGTGTGTGTGTGTGTGTATGTGTGTGCGTGTGTGGTTGGGGGGGGGGCAGGCTGGTGGCCGTCACTGTGCCTGAGAACGCCTTGCAGAGCGACCTCTTACCGCAGGACGCTGAACCACGACTGTTCATTGAGTTTAAACATTAGATCATCCTGTTTCAGGGCTTCTCTCGGTTTTCAAAATAAAACGATATCAGTCCAAGTTTTCTTATTTGAATTTATTTCACTGAAGCTCTAAGAGGACAAGCCCCGTAATAACAGAAACAACTTTTCAGTTGTTTTCTCGAGATATTGCCTCATTCGGGAACCGGTGGCGGAGTGGTTAGTCCTCAAAGCGGGGGCCAGGGGTCGAATCCAGCTCGTCTCTGGCTCCTGTCCCGCATGACGTTCAATCACTTTCTCTCTCTCTCAGATTTCTGACTCTATCCACTGTTCTCTTGTTCAAATGATGGCCACAAATAAAAATGAATATACAAAACAATTCATTTTAGAGTTGTAACGGGACGTGTCTTTGTGCCGCCATAACAGACAAGTCATGTTTACCGTTGCCGTGGAAACACCGGATTTTACGTCACAGAGCGCTGCATAAGAATCGTGAGCGGCTACTGAAAGCTGCTGTATTGTTGCTGTATGTGCTGCTGGGATAAAAACGTCATGTAAATTATACTCTGATATATTAGTTGTCTGTAAACATATTCTCTCTCTTGGGTCGGTTCCACCCGGTCGTTATGACAACGGCCAACTCAGTTAATTGTCATTGGGGGTGGGGGGGAAGGAAGTCGTTATCTTTTATTATTGACGTTTTGATTGAGAGCCCCCTGCTGGTGAAATATACGTACTGTTCCTTTAACAAGTTTATTTCAGTTTTTTTCCTGAGACCTCGACTTGTTTTTCTTGTCTTAACGCTGGTTTTCATGTGATAAGAAAATTTGTCTCTGCAGAAGATTTCAACATAAGTAAGTATGTTGATGTTTTATTTCCATCAGACTGATGTCCTCTGACAGCTGGAGACCGTGTAGGTGGCGTTCAAGTCCCTTGGGTGGTGCGTTGGCGTTCAGCTGACAACTGGAGAATGTCGCTCACAGTGAAAACATGTAAAGCATGTTACAGGTGTGTGATCTGTACCTGCAGGTCTGTCTTCATGAGCGACGCCCCGGCCTCCACCAAATAGTGACAGATGCTCCTCTGACAGGAGGAGGCAGCTTTATGGAGCGCCGTTTCACCTCTGACACAAAAACAAACAGGAGGAACATTTAAAGACGTGAACACAAAATATTAAATATTTGATTTGATTAAAAACTGAAGGTGGACTCACGTCTCTCTCTCTGTTACGTCCAGATGAGAAGTGGGAACTGAATAAAACAGAGACACATTTTAATCACTTGTTGACCTTTGACCTTTGACCTAAAAAAAACTTTGAGATGAACAAAGTATCGGACACTGAAAAAAAAGATTTCACAATAAAAGAGTATATCAGATGTTATAGATGCATTTTATTTTGAAAAACATTTTTTCATCTTTATTTATTTAATCTGAGTTGTTAAAACACTTTCAGACTAGATTGAAAGACGTCGTCGGTTACTTTTCTAACAAAGTAACCAAGCAGTTTAGTATGGTGGCCCTGAAGGTCAACTGTACAAACGTTTGGACAATGCAAAAAAATATTTTGTGATATTTTTTATTTTTTGCATTTCATTAAAGGGTCTTATATTTTTTTTTATGTCTTCTGAAAAAGATTGTTTATATTTTCTTGTGTTTTGTGAAAATCTTTCATGTTTTTTTTAATTTTGTTTATATTTAAATGTTTTTGTGATTGTTGAAACATTTTCACATGCTACAAAATGTTTTGGGACTATTCTTTTATAACTTTTGAACAATGTCATGTTTTGTGAAATGAAATACTTTCATAATTATTGAAAAGGTTTTAAGTCATTTATATGTTTTGAAAAATATTTTTACATTTCATTCAATATATTTTTTAAATGTTTTTGCATTTCACAATTTTTTTTTCCTGTTTTGTGAAATGTTTTTTTTAGTTACATCATTTCTTGTTTTATGAAATAACTTTTATCTTAATGAAAATATTTGTACGTTTTGTAAATGTTAAGTTTAGTAAAATGGTCTTTTTGCATCACGCAAAATGTTTTTGGGAATTCATGAAATATTTTCATGTTTTGTTAAAGATATTGACATGTTGTGAAATTGTTTTTGCAGAATGTGTGTGG